ACATCAGGTTTGGAAAGTTTTTATTTATATGGAATAATAGTGCCGGACAACACCAATATTCAAAAATATATTATATATTTACACGGATTTTTCCAAAATGCACGTAGATAGCTGGTGGGATTCTTACTTAGAACATGGAGGAACCCCCGAAACCTCTGTGTATATATATATAGCGATGTACATACGATTCGAACATCAGGTTTGGAAAGTTTTTATTATATGAATATATAGTGCCGGACAACTACAATATTCAAAATATATTATATATACACCGGATTTTCCAAAATGCACGTAGATAGCTGGTGGGATTCTTACTTAGAACATGGAGGAACCCCCGAAACCTCTGTGTATATATATATAGCGATGTACATACGATTCGAACATCAGGTTTGGAAAGTTTTTATTATATGAATATATAGTGCCGGACAACTACAATATTCAAAATATGTATATAATAGTATATACACAGAGGATTTTCCAAAATGCACGTAGATAGCTGGTGGGATTCTTACTTAGAACATGGAGGAACCCCCAAAAACCCTGTGTATATATATATATATAGCGATGTACATACGATTCGAACATCAGGTTTGGAAAGTTTTTATTATATGAATATATAGTGCCGGACAACTACAATATTCAAAATATGTGTATAATAGTATATATACACAGGATTTTCCAAAATGCACGTAGATAGCTGGTGGGATTCTTACTTAGAACATGGAGGAACCCCCAAAACCTCTGTGTATATATATATATATATAGCGATGTACATACGATTCGAACATCAGGTTTGGAAAGTTTTTATTATATGAATATATAGTGCCGGACAACTACAATATTAAAAATATATTATATATACACAGGATTTTCCAAAATGCACGTAGATAGCTGGTGGGATTCTTACTTAGAACATGGAGGAATCCCCAAAACCTCTGTGTATATATATATATAGCGATGTACATCGATAGAAACATCAGGTTTTGGAAAGTTTTATTATATGAATATATAGGCCGGACAATACAATAAATTCAAAATATATTTATAATTTTGACACAGGATTTTCGCAAAATGACACCTAGATAGCTGGTGGGATCTTAATTAGAACATGGAGGAACCCCCAAACCTCTGGTATATATTATATATAGCGATGCACATACGATTCGAACATCAGGTTTGGAAAGTTTTTATTATATGAATATACAGTGCCGGACAACTACAATATTCAAAATATATTATATATACACAGGATTTTCCAAAATGCACGTAGATAGCTGGTGGGATTCTTACTTAGAACATGGAGGAAACCCCAAAACCTCTGTGTATATATATATAGCGATGTACATCCGATTCGAACATCAGGTTTGGAAAGTTTTTATTATATGAATATATAGTGCCGGACAACTACAATATTCAAAATATATTATATATACACAGGATTTTCCAAAATGCACGTAGATAGCTGGTGGGATTTTTACTTAGAACATGGAGGAACCCCCAAAACCCTTCTGCGACTGTATATATATATATAGCGATGCACATACGATTCGAACATCAGGTTTGGAAAGTTTTTATTATATGAATATACAGTGCCGGACAACTACAATATTCAAAATATATTATATATACACAGGATTTTCCAAAATGCACGTAGATAGCTGGTGGGATTCTTACTTAGAACATGGAGGAAACCCAAAAACTCGGTGGTATATATATATAGCGATGTACATACGATCGAAACATAAGGTTTGGAAAGTTTTAATGATAGAATATATAGTGCGGACACAACTACAATATTCAAAATATTATATATTACACAGGCTTTTCCAAAATGCCACGAGATAGGATGGTGGGATCTTACTTTAGAAACATGGAGGAACCCCAAAACCTCTGTGTATATATATATATAGCGATGTACATACGATTCGAACATCAGGTTTGGAAAGTTTTTATTATATGAATATATAGTGCCGGACAACTACAATATTCAAAATATATTATATATACACAGGATTTTCCAAAATGCACGTAGATAGCTGGTGGGATTCTTACTTAGAACATGGAGGAACCCCCAAAACCCTGTGTATATATATATATAGCGATGTACATACGATTCGAACATCAGGTTTGGAAAGTTTTTATTATATGAATATATAGTGCCGGACAACTACAATATTCAAAATATATTATATATACACAGGATTTTCCAAAATGCACGTAGATAGCTGGTGGGATTCTTACTTAGAACATGGAGGAACCCCCAAAACCTCTATATAGCGATGTACATACGATTCGAACATCAGGTTTGGAAAGTTTTTATTATATGAATATATAGTGCCGGACAACTACAATATTCAAAATATATTATATATACACAGGATTTTCCAAAATGCACGTAGATAGCTGGTGGGATTCTTACTTAGAACATGGAGGAACCCCCAAAACCTCTGTGTATATATATATATATAGCGATGTACATACGATTCGAACATCAGGTTTGGAAAGTTTTTATTATATGAATATATAGTGCCGGACAACTACAATATTCAAAATATATTATATATACACAGGATTTTCCAAAATGCACGTAGATAGCTGGTGGGATTCTTACTTAGAACATGGAGGAACCCCCAAAACCTCTGTGTATATATATATAGCGATGTACATACGATTCGAACATCAGGTTTGGAAAGTTTTTATTATATGAATATATAGTGCCGGACAACTACAATATTCAAAATATATTATATATACACAGGATTTTCCAAAATGCACGTAGATAGCTGGTGGGATTCTTACTTAGAACATGGAGGAACCCCCAAAACCTCTGTGTATATATATATAGCGATGTACATACGATTCGAACATCAGGTTTGGAAAGTTTTTATTATATGAATATATAGTGCCGGACAACTACAATATTCAAAATATATTATATATACACAGGATTTTCCAAAATGCACGTAGATAGCTGGTGGGATTCTTACTTAGAACATGGAGGAACCCCCAAAACCTCTGTGTATATATATATATAGCGATGTACATACGATTCGAACATCAGGTTTGGAAAGTTTTTATTATATGAATATATAGTGCCGGACAACTACAATATTAAAAATATATTATATATACACAGGATTTTCCAAAAATGCACGTAGATAGCTGGGGGGATTCTTACTTAGAACACGGGGGAACCCCCAAAACCTCTACTTAGAACATATATGAACATATATGTTCTAAGTAGTGGTCCAGGATCTCTACTTAGAACACGTTTTGGAATTCCAAAACCAATGTTCTAAGTAGTTGTCCGGCGCTATATGTAATTATGATATACATATGTCTGCCGCTTCACACAGGGGATATAATGGTGCATATATATATATATATATAACCACAAAGAATGGAGATATAATGGCGGATATATATATATATATAAATGGAGATAACATGGGCATAGAGGGGATATTCTCCCTTCAACATAGACCCTGCCAAGTGGTTTTTCTGGAAGACCATTTTCCTCTAAATTGGTTATCATCTGGTTATTTAACATAGCCATGGAAAATCCCTTATAAATGGAGGTATTGATGGGAAAATCATCTATAAATGGGCCATTTTCCATGGCTATGTTAAATAACCAGAGGTTACTTTCCTGTTGATTAGTAGTGGTCTTTGATCATTTGGGGGCCTGCATATCGGCGAAGTTGTTGAATCTGCGGCAGTCCCGGATACCAGAGCGATGTCACACAGTGTTATTGGATTTGTGTGAATCCAATCGTAGTTTATTTTTGAATATACATCCCAGTACCGGTATATATATAATATATATATATAATATGTGTGTGTGTCCATATGTCCGTATATGAACATATATATATATATATACACATAAATGTACACACCCCACATTATATCTGCAATGATTTTTCTTCTACTCAATTTTACGAAGTAAACATATTTGAATTATTGGGATATGAAGGATCACGCATCCCATCTTTATTCATCATGTGCTTGGGAAACTCCCTGAAACCGGTAGGTATACTGTTATATGTCCATAATGTTAGTACTATAAATTATGTATATACATTGTGTATATTTGAAGTTGTATATAATCCACACGTGTATACATGTAATTATATATGTATACATATAAATATATATACATACTCGTCGCGTTCATGCACACTCGTTTCTCGTTTCTTTGATCATACACAATTCACTCTACAGCTGTCGCTTGATCAGCGTCGGTTCTTTTGTCACCTGAAAAGGCATGGGGTCACAGGTGAGCACAAATAAAATCTTGAAGTGCGATCGATGGCAAGACTGATTGTGAGGCTGAAGCAAGTAAAACATCCGAACTGTCACCACAAGAGAGAGAGTCGCCGAGACACGTCAATCATCATGGTGTCACGAGCGGACATCAAATAAACAAATGACAAAACACAGAAAAGAATCACTGAAAAGCCCCCAATCTGCAATCGCAATCAACCTCACCCTTTCACAGGGCGGGTTTCTTTGGGTCGGGACAAATTGGATGCCTGGTGATCTCTTGAGCTAGTCACCAAAATGGCATACGGAAAAGAGGTTGATTGATCAATAGCAAATAAAATGACATGATGATCAAAGACATGAACAGACAAGTAACTCCCCTCTCCTGACCAACCAACCGTTAGATGGGACCTACTCGTCGCGTTCATGCACACTCGTTTCTCGTTTCTTTGATCATACACAATTCACTCTACAGCTGTCGCTTGATCAGCGTCGGTTCTTTTGTCACCTGAAAAGGCATGGGGTCACAGGTGAGCACAAATAAAATCTTGAAGTGCGATCGATGGCAAGACTGATTGTGAGGCTGAAGCAAGTAAAACATCCGAACTGTCACCACAAGAGAGAGAGTCGCCGAGACACGTCAATCATCATGGTGTCACGAGCGGACATCAAATAAACAAATGACAAAACACAGAAAAGAATCACTGAAAAGCCCAGGCCCCTGCAGTCAGAACTTACCTATCGAAACTCAAGAGCTCACCCGGCCAACATGCCTGAACGGTTTTCCAACCTGCCTTCTCTCCCGTGGAGAGATCGTCTCTAGAAGGCCAATCAGCTGGGTTGGAATCAGTTGAAACTCTGTCAATAAAAACTCGAACTCGCAATTCAAAAATTAAATTCCAAAATACCGACACGAGCGTGCACAAGTCTGATTTGCTGGAGTATCCTTTAACTAGAGCGGACTCCACGGCTTCAGAGTCGATCAGCAAAATCAAGTCAGTGCCAAACAAACGCTCGCGGAAGGTGTGTAAAGCTAAAATAGGAGCAATCATTTCAACAGGAACAATTTGGGTCTTCCTGGGAGCCCAGTTCTTCTGCATCTCTTTAGGTATCACCTCAGAGAACTGGAGAGGAGCCTCCCATCGTCTATCAAACAGAACTGCACCTACCCTATCCGGACGAGGATCATCGTCTCTCGGATCCGGTGTAAAACCATCAGTAAAAATGACTACGTCAGGTTTCTTGATCTTCTTCATCTCGATCGGTCGAGGAGGACCAGCTCTGATAAGATGTCGCCAGTGCTCCAAAGCAAACCGCAAAGGCTCGTCCAGTGCAAAACCAGAATCGCCGACTGGGAAACGAGCGTATTGACGTTCAGAGATCACGCGCAAAAAGGCGCGCCCCACTTTTCCCCAGAGCTGGCTCGCACCAAACATCAGTTTACCTTTCAACTTCCCAGCTGTACCTGGATCCAGGAAACCAGAGCCTAAAATATAGTCGATCTCCTCGATCAGGTCAGACTTGCGGTCTTCCTTGATTTCCAAAACAAAATCGCAAAGGTTGTAGGTGACACCAAGGATTGTAGGCGATCGACTCAATTGCAGTTTTCGCTGATCAAACTTCGCACCCAGCCACCAGTGAACATGTTGGGCGATCTGATGGGCAGATTCCACAGTCTGCACCGGTTCAAAACCGTACTTATCATCATAGAAGCTGAAAGCGATCAGTCCAAACAAAGAGATGAGGATCTCGTTGATTGCTGCCGATCGGCGGTTGTAGTTGTACACGGCCGAGACCAAACCAAAGGAATGCCCGATCATCACGAAGAAAGCAGTCTTGCCAGAGGCTGGTTCCTTCAAAGCAATGACACTGAACATGCGGTGGTCAGGTCGTCTGGGAACTTGACGGTAAGCTTTTCTCTCATCCAACACCCAACCTGCCAACTCGGAGCCAGGGCACATTGCTCTGAGCTTACGCAATGCAGCAACGTTGGAGTCTGTGGACGGCAACTGAAGCTTCTCGGTGATCACCGTGGCTTGGTTGATCAGGTTAGTTGTTGCACTATCGCAACCCCTAACTTTATTTTTCTGAACAACTTCAAACCTTTGAGTGGGGATCCAATCATCCCTACCTACTAAATTAGAAACATCTTTTTGATCAAAAACCGGGCCTATGCACGAGCCTTCATGAACATCTTCCACAGTTGCATCCCAAATCTTCTTGAGGTTCTCTGTGATTGGCACAGCTTGCACACGTGCAATGATCTTCTTCCGGATCTCCCAGGCCCTACTTTGCATCGAGGCGACCGCCACAGACGACTGCTCCTTCTCATACGGCGGCCATCTGCCCGATCGCAGAATCGGCCCAACTATCGGAAAACCAGAAAGCAGGCAATGAGGAAGATCTTGATCAGCCGAATTGATGGCCGCAAGCATCAGTTTGTAGAGCACGAGATGGCAAGTAACACCCAGCTGCGCAGGTTCATGGTCCGGGACCCCCCTCAGCAAAAAGCGGAGAGGGGCACCCGGGATGCGCCGCAAAATCTGATCAGTCGCCTCGAGAGAGGACTGAGCGATCGCTCCCCACTTATGCAGAAGTGCTGAGCGCCGCTGCAGAATGTGCTCGCTGGAGGAGGCGAACTGTTGCAGAGCCGCCTGCAAGCCAGGTTCCACGGCAATCTCGGTCGAGAACGGGTGATCGATGCTCATCGCCCACAAGATAGCCTGACCAGGCTCAGATTCCACTTCCAGCAAAGGTTTCATTGCACCACGCTTGAGCTGATAGCCTGATGCCGCCGCCAACTGAGCAGTCAGATGTTGGCGATGGCCTTCCCAGTGCATGGCCTTGCCCAGCAGACGCTTGCGCTTGCCTGTGCTGAGCAGTCCGAAAGAGGACACCAGGAGCTGCAAAGGGCGCACGCGAACAGCTGAGATGGCCGCTGCCATCGCCGCACAAAGCATGTGTGGGTATTCTTGAGCAAGCTTGGTGCGGTAAACCACTTTGCCAAAGAACTCGCTGTATACTTGTCCTTGAAGAATTTCATGAGCATGATGACCCGGGCAACGCCTATGCAGAGGCGAAAAAGCCGCATGAGTCACGCACAGCGAGGTGGGCTTCATCGAGGGAGCCCCCCACGCACATTGATCAAAATGGATGAGCCAGGCGCGAGCGCACCGCAGAAGGCGTTGTATCCCACGAGTGCTCCAGATCAAGCTCTTTTCGGGGTTTTCGATAGAAAAATCACCGCCCATTTCAGCTACCCCTAAACAAACTTCGACAGTGCGATCAACAAACAGATTGCCGATCTGCGCCAGAAACCAGTTGGAGCCTGAGAGCGCGGGCAATCCCTCCGGACAGGCTGGGCTGCGTAAGGGCGGCGGCCCCCCGTCCGCTTTGCGAGCTGCAGAAAAAGTATTACATGGTGTACCACAATGAACAAAGAAAATTGCCCCCATTTGCACGAGCTGCGTGATAAAGGTCCAGCGATCAGCATCAAGGACATCAAAAGGATCTTGCACATGCTGGCTGATCATCGCGTCAATGGGGGGTAAACAAGGAATTCCCATCTGGCGGACTGCTTCTGTCAAACGAGCTGTCCCGGCAAAAATTTCCAGAAACCAAGGGCCCTGAGCTGCAACTTCATGAACGTTCCGTGGAACGTCTGCCCAACGGAGCCACTGGTGGTTCTGCTGTGCCACCGGAGCTGTCGGAGCCTCAGAGTGAGTCGGACTCTGGAGCTCCTCATTCGCCCCAGCATGGGCCCCACAAAACTGATCACTCCCACCTGGGGGGAGCCAATTCCCAGGTGGGGGAGCCGAGCTGGCTCAGTGATTTCCGTGCCATGGATGCTCCTTACCACATTCTACACAGGCATGTAGGTTGCGGCAAGAGTCGCCGAACCGGCAGCCCAGTGAACAATTGTAGAATGGGCAGCGCCGCTTGCCTGAGTATTTGAAGGCGGTGATGGCTGACCATTCATTGGCGGGCACGCGAGCGTCTTTGGAGACTTTGGACTCCTTGCGCGCTCCCTTGGGATCGGCCAAGGTGGCTTTGGCTCGAGCGAGCACGGCTTTCTGCCTTTCGCGCCGAGCTTTGTTCTTCTTGGCCTTGGGTGAAGCTTTAAAAGGTGAATCATCCTCTTCAAGAGCACGCTTGGGAGCCCGTGGTGGTGTAGAAGGAGCTTGCTGACCAGCCTGCTTGAACTTGTCCAATTCTGCGCTGCTGCGCGCATCATTCCAAAGCTGCTTGTGGTTGGCCAAGACCTCGAGCAGGGCGGAGGAGAACGTGGGAAAGGACTTCCTCTGATCATGGTTAAGTCGATGGACCTTCTTTCGGATCAGGGAGTCGACTGTGAGCAGCAGCGCCAACCCCTTGTTCTCATGCCGCCACTCTTCGAGCTCGGAGAGGTACTTCAGGGGCCCGCGAGCGGCGGTGAATTCGCAGATATTGAGGTACTCAAGAGCCACGAAGAAGGCATGAAGCTTGTCCATAACCTGGCTCTCTGAGGCAGCCGACACAGGTTGATCAACCGTGACGACCTTCAGCAAATCCTCCGCATTCTTGGAGATGCCCGCTTTCTGAACAATCACTTCGCTCCGCGTGCGCAGTTCACCCACCTGGTAGAACATCACAGCACCATGAACAAGGTAATCACGTTGGATGCGTTCGACCAACTTCCTGTGAGGTTCTCGGTGGGGCGGCAACAACACATCTGGGTGTTTGTGCACGAACTGCTCGCGGAACTCTGCATGATCCTCACCCGGAATTTCGGGTACCTTCGAAGGATCTTCTTCCATCTTGGCACGCCGAGAGGCGAAGTGCTCTTGTAAAGTAGAGCATGTCTTCCATACTGCTGTCAAATTGGTGAGTGCCAACTCCTGAGCAGCCGCGTCAGCACCAAACCGAGCTGGGTCAGGGACGATGCGGTTGAGGGTCTGCTTGACACCGGTGATGTTGTCGCCGAGCATGGCAAATGTGTCCATGGTGCGAAGGCCTACCTCGGCTGCGAGCAGGCACAGATTCTCTGGAAGCCGCTGGCGCCCGAAGACCTGCCGCAATGCTAACTCAGGAACTTGATCATCCGGGTAGGTAGTGCGATCGACCATGATGGCGACAAGCACGAGACCCGCACGGTGCTGAGCAACACTTGCTGCGGCCCTGCGCGAGTTCACCGACGATCGAGCGAACACTGATTATTTGTAGGAGCTGATGGCTGATGGAAACCCTCGGCTCCGGCAAAAAAAGAACTTTTTCACGCCACTTCTTATTGATCAGGACTTACTGAAAAAGCATGCGATCTCTGGCCTTGCTTTGGAGCAGGCTTTACAGAGCACGGATAAATCTGGCAAAATGTCTCCCACGGACTGGCACTCATCGATTGCAAAACGCCGACAGGCAGTCTGGGTGCTATCATCGATTGAGGGAGCATGAAACTTATAATCATAGTAGGTGCCAGCCCCGGGATTTTTGATGAAAAATTCCAAGTTGTCTAAATCTTGATCAGAGGCATCAGTGAGAAGAGTCTGAGCATCTTCTATCACGGGATGATTTTCTTGAACCATCTCTCGAACAAGTTGTTTGATCATGGTGGCTGGGACAGATGAACGATTACGAGTATACTTCAACACCATGGGACCAGGGTTTTTCCAATTGGCCTGTAGGCCGATCTCTTCCGTGGAGCGCCCAGCATGAACAGCAGCATCGAGCAAGGTGACTCGACATGAGTGAACTGTCAGCTTATCGACAGTTTCGATCAGACTCTTGCGATCTGTCGCAGGAATCTCCCGATCGAGCATTATCCCTTGATGTGCAAAACAACGCAGCCATTTTACTGTGCGCTGGTGAGACGGCGGGCGCTGGTCAAACTCGGATTTCGAGTTTAACTCAAACATCCAGAAATCACGGTCCTGGACCTCCAGCAGCTTGAACAAGCTCCACCCAACTTCGAGCCAGTCATTGTGACGGAACCCAACTTTGGGGACCATGAACCTGGTTCCAGCCCTCTTCCGCTCCACTTTGGTCTGCCACGCAACACCGAACAGGCCTTCATCTTGCATGATCAATTCAGCAGGCTTGACATGGATAGCATCGTCAAAACGCAGCGATGCAAAAACCATGCAAAGGAGCCACCACACAAAGATCCTCGCCTGAGCAAACTCCTTGGAGTTGACGACGATTGCTTCTAGGGTGCACACCGCTGCGATCGGGATGGGCACTGCTTCTTTCAAAGTAGTTGCGCGCGCAGAGACTATCTGATCTTGGATGGCCTTCAGCCGCTGATCGTCCAAATCAGGCAGGTCGATCGCTAGCCGAGAGGCCACCCACTTGACAGACGTCTTGAATGCTGGCACAACTGAGGGGCCACACTCACGCTGATCCAAAATCAAGCAGTACTTCAAGATCTTGTCGACTGTCATCGGGTACAGCACTACTGAGGAGGCCGCTGCCCAGTGCTCGAACTTTTCAAACGCTCGTATGTGAGCTGACATAGTTCGGGGAGCCCCTGAAAGCAGGACGATCTGCCTCAACCGCGCCAGCTCGGGGGGCGACAAGTCGTCGCTCTGCCCCTGCTGAACAAGCAGTTTGGCTGCCGATCCGGCACGACGGCCAATAGCCTCAAGCCGAGCAGCCCATTTGGCTTTCTCATTGTTTTCTTGATCGAGTAATGGTGTCAAGGAGTCGCTAGCTTGTGCTAAGCCCTTGAGCTTCTTATTTGGCGCTTTGGGGCCACTGAGCAAAGCCCTGACTCCAGCTGACTGCCGAAGTTGATCAAGTGGCGATCCCTGAATATCAGGGGGCTTGTTTTCACACAAACCAAAACCAAGCTGGAGCGCAGTTGATTCAAAGAACATCTTCTCTGCTCTAATTGCGAGCGACCAAAAATTTTCGAGCTGGCCAGAATCTTTCAACAAAACTTGAATGACTGCTGGGTCGAAAGACCCTGCCCACTCAGCTACCTTAGCTGAGAACTCTGCAGCCGAGCTGACTCCCATGGCCGATACAAACGCCAGGTTGGCCAACGGTGTCTTGGCGATGGCCTGAGCAAATGCATGGTCAAACAAGGGGAGCGACAGGATCTTAAGGGTCCACCTATCAACTTGAGCCATGATCACTCACATGGGGTGCACCATTCAAAACATGAGCAACCAACGGTGAGAAGGGCAGCAAGTTGACCACACGGTGAACACCACAAAAACAAGATACCAAATCAAAACCTAGTTATCGGCTATGGACTAGGTATCATAAAAACAGATCTCAAAAATCAGAGTCTTATTCAATTGGGGGAGGGTTGAACAACCTAAGAGTGGAGCACGAAAACCCTGAGAGCAATTGACAAACTCTACATCGAACGTGCATCTACTCGTCAGGCAACAACATCAACTCCGTCCCGTTTGCACATTCGATCACGTTTGTCTGAACAGTGAAAATGCGATGCAACGACGTCGAATGTCCACAAGAGTCAAAACTGTGATCATGCCCGCAATGCCGTGAACAGCCATCAGCTCTTACTGCATGATCAACAGTGTTCGACCGATCGATGTGATTGAGCTCCCACAACTGCACTGGGCTCACGAACCTGCAGTGCAGAGCGGTACTCCAAAAACACTCCCACTCACTTGGAAAAAGGGGAGACCAGTTTAAAATAAGGTCGATCAAGACTGTCAACTTGCGATCGCAAATAAACACGCAATCAATCCTCGAAATGGCGTGCAAAATTCAATTTTCATTTATAGAAATCCTTGAGAGGTTGAAAAAGGAAGTTTGATCAACGAGCATGCCGCAACCTTGACGCTGCTGGCGCTGCTTCATTTTGCCGAGCGGCGAGTCAGGCGCCGTAAATTGTGCCGAGCTCACCCAGTCGGTATTCATCAACCGAAATTGAGCAATGTTGAAATTAATGCATGTCATGAAACATGAACTGATGAAACAAATCTCAAAAACGCCCGACCTAGCAGTCCTCTACCTGTGCAGGAGGCCCGAACGACCGAGGTTCTGTCCTGGTCGTCAAATTTTCGGAGCCATCCAGAGATCCTGAAAGCATCTCGATCTGGATCTCAGCTGATGATGCTGATGCCTGCTGTTGAGGCTCAGCCCGAAAGGTCTGCACACGTTCCAAGAAACCTGCTGGTGTGAGGGCTGAAGAGTCAAGACGCTCCGCCCGTCTCTGTTCCAGCGACCTGCGCGTTGGAGCCAACGCCCCACCCAACCAAGAGCTAGGTGTAGGTGCCACGCCTGGCTCTGTCAAAGAGGGGAGAGCTCCATCCGATGGCAAAGGCGCCACTGTCAGATCTGCATTGCCCACATAGCCTGTGATGGCTGCAAGCCCTTTTGGCTGTGCACAAGTAGGCTGAACAGCCGGTCCTCCTGTGATAGGAGGCAAGACCACCGTCTCCTTCTCATCAGCCCGGCTGTGAGCTTGCAACGCCAGAGCTTCCGGCGGGACAATCGCACGTTCCTTCTTGAACAAGGGTGACTCGCAGATCAGGTGCAAGTTGGCTGCATTGCTCTCAACGGCCACAGCTGAGATTCTAGGTCCAGTGTCATCTTCGCGAGCTGCCTCCACGTTCACCGTCCAATGAGCATGGATGCTAGCAAGCTGAGCCAACTGCAACGCCTGGTCAGGCGATTCGATGCGGGCATACTTGGACCTGCACCAGTTTGCATTCCTGATCAGGGTTGGTCCTGACACTCGGCTGACCACCAACCACGATGGAGGCACTGCACAAGTGCTTGCCGCAACATCAAGGCGATCGCCAGCACTCAGGAACCTGAATTCTAAACGATCTGCATCTAGGCCAAAAGCGTCTTCAGATGACGTCGCCACGATCCTGCATTCAAAGTGGCAAAGAGGGTAGTCTGCAGCTACCACGACGCCACCTTCTGAACAGACGTACAGCCTGCCTCCCACTTCCCATGAACAGGCAACGACACGCCATTGTTGGAAGATCGTCACCACGAACGTGGGGATGAAGGCATTCTCCTGCAAAACGTACATGAGATGGTCAGCCACATGGTTAATCTGAACCGTCATGTCACTGTCAGAGCGATAGCCCCTGAGCTCCAGGTGGATGAAGAGGTGTCCCTCGATCTTCACTTTGACATCCACCCAAGTGGGAGAGTCATCCCGCATCAGAGGCCAGCGAAAAGGCTGAAAAGCCTCGTGCGAGAGCACCTTGCCAGTGTCTTCATCCCACTTTCCACATGGCACGGAGCCGTAGGAAGTCATGGAGCCACACAACACCAGCTTGAGGCCATCAAGGGTCTTGAGCATGAACAAGTTCATGTGGTACCCAGTGGAAGGCGACCGCACGAGAGCTCGATCGCTCAAGATATTGATCCTTGCATTTGCGTTGATCAAAATCTCATCCAGGAGCCACCCCTGGTAAGGGGACTGCAGTCTATTGTCCCGGCTATCCAAGACCAGAACTGATCTCTCATTTTCACCGGAACCAACCTGCTGCAGATGCTCGGGCAGGCGCACATTGATAGCATTGTGAGCGCCCATCTGATTGTACCTCACCGAACGGCGACCTGATTTGGCGGCCTTGTCCTGCTGCTCTCTCAAGCGCCGAGCGGCAGGCGTCTCATTGGACCTATCCACAAAATTTCGGGCAGCTTGTGTCACAGGAGCTGCTTGAGCAGGCTGAGGAGTGTGTGGCTGCTCAGCCTGACTTCCACGACCTTGATCAAATCCTTGGTTCCAAAGGTCAGCTGATTCAGGAGGAGCGGCTGGTTCAGGAGCCTCATCGTGAGCCATGCGCCAAGATCCCAAAGTGCCTGCCTCAGAGGCTTGCCCATCAGCAGCCCGAGCGGCTGGGGATCTGCTCTGCATCATTTTGGCTTGGTTGGCGAGAGCCCGGGGCATGGCTGGAGGAAACTGAGACATGGAACCGAAGAAAAAGCTAAGTGATCACCCAGGCCCTACTGATCTATGGGGACAAATTGGATGCCTGGTGATCTCTTGAGCTAGTCACCAAAATGGCATACGGAAAAGAGGTTGATTGATCAATAGCAAATAAAATGACATGATGATCAAAGACATGAACAGACAAGTAACTCCCCTCTCCTGACCAACCAACCGTTAGATGGGACCTTTATATACATATATATATATATATTATACACATATACTATAGTACTATATTATATATATAGAGTTAAATCATTGTAACTATAAGTTAGTAACTATAGCTAGATCATGGTACTATAATTTCCGCCATATCTATAAACAATTATATAACTATCAACCACAACTATCAACTATGTAACTATGTAAACTATAAACCTGTATAATTATATATAACATGTATATATGACATGTATATATATATATATTAATGTACTATAATGTACTATAATGTACTATAATGATCTATAATGTACTATCATCTCCATCGAAAAAAACAACGACAACGCTATTCCCATCTGCCTCGGCGCGGCGCTTCTCCAGCGCCCTTCGCTTCTCCAAACCTTTCAGGCGCTCTGAGGAGGCCGCCCAGTCAGCCGCGTGCCGCTCCTGGCGGCAGAAACGGTCAACGTGGCGGTTCAACCGTGGCGGTTCAAGCGTGGGAAAACCAGAAAACCATGGGGAAACCATAGGAAAAATGGCGATTTAACAAGGAAAACCATGGGAAAATTATCATTTGACTAGGAAAACCATTGGAAAAATGGTGATTTAACAAGGAAAACCATGGGAAAATTATGATTTGACTAGGAAAACCATTGGAAAAATGGTGATTTCACCAAGAACAACAATTTGTGATTTCCATGGGGATTTATGTCACTGATTTATGATATCCAAGTTGATTTACAGCTAGGTGAAAACTCCATGGTTTTTTCTGGTTCATGGGATGGAAACTGAAGGGGGCCACGGTCCGGGGGCGCGGCTCGCAGCAGTGAAGATCAGGTGTTGTTTTCCGCGAAATGAGGAGTAAAGTGAGTAAACCAACATGAACCATGAACTATCCAAGAACTATCTGATTTATTCTGATTTCAGATGTTCACAATTCTTCACTAATATGTTCTCCAAACATGTTGGTAGAACTAGTTCTACTGCTGCTTGGGGTTGTCTTGCAGCTGAGTTCTTCGTTATGATGGGGCCATGCCGTGGAGGGCAACCAATACCCTCCGGTAGTCGGACGTGGCAATGGGAAATCTCCATGTATAAATGATGTTCCCAGCTTTTAAACCTCCACTGATATAGGAATTCAAAGGAATTCCCCATCATGTTGCGATGTGTGAACATTCCACACTCCAAAAATGAGCTCAATGTTGAAGCCCTTGGTCAGCAGAATGGAAGCTTGGCATCATAAGCGGATGAACATGAACAACTTTACACGGGTAGGCCATATGTTGTGGGCTTGTTTTTTAAACACCTCCCAAAATACCCTCTGGCCCATTTATAGATGGTTTAACTATTAAAAATGATGATTTTCCATGGCTATGTTAGTCATAACCAGAGGGTACTGTCAGCCTCCCATGTTTCATCGTTTTTCGTATGGAACTGGATCAACCTTCCAGAAATCTGAGGGGATTCCCAGCGGCAGGGGATTCCATGGCTGTCCTGAAACTTTTGGCGGCTGCTCGTGTCCACCACCAGCAATGTCTCCTGAAAAAAAAAGAAACACATCTCGCGAGGGGGTGAAGCATTGAAATGGTAGCCTCTGGTCATTGACATCAACCAGCATCAACCAGCCAAAACGCTGGTTTCATGGGATAATTCACAGAAATATCGTCGGATTCAAGGTATGAACGCTGGTGCAAACCCAGCAAGGCTCAGTTGATTGCTGGTTCATCCTGGGAGGAACTGAACGTCACGTTCCAGATAGAATCCCTAGGGATCCTGCGTTGCCAACTTATTTCATGTCATTTGTTGATGTAGAAGTTTTGTGGCATGGATTTAGTATACAGTATAAATATATATATATACACATATATCTATATATATACATGCTAATTATACTCAATTATAGAATCATTATGGTTAAATTGCCTATGAATCGACCATGGCTTCCATAACTAACTCTTAAATTATCTTAAATGACCAAATGGTGGAACTTATGGGGGAAACATCAACTCCAACATGCCGGCAAAACGTTTCGATGTTTTTTGGAGATTGTCACATATTATGTACATATATATGTATATATATATATGTAATATATATATATATATATGTATATATATATATATATATGTATATATGTATATATCAGTATATATGTATATATATATGTACAATTATACATAATTTTATAGATCCCACTACATCCGGGAAAAAAACAAATCAGATAAAGAACACCTGACGGGGAAAGCTCTCATGTTCATGAAATCCTCAAGCTGAACAGGTCCCATGTCTTCAAATGGACCTCTAGAAGCTGCTCCCGAAACCACGCCCTTTACAATCGAGCTTTGGAGACCTAAACGACCAATTCCATGTTTTTTTCGCATATCAAAAAGGTCCCCAACTCTGAACCCTACCATTATCATGACATATTTAAGTCTCCCTCATCCCCCGAAGTTGAAGTTGGAAACGCCCCATTGTCATCCATTTTCCTGCTATATGGACACTTCCAAACAGTCGTAAAATGTCATAAGTATCGTCTCGTTTCTGTTCATCTTCCCGTGCTTGGAATACACCCACGACACACATGGCCTGAAGGTGAAAGCGGACCTTCACCCCGTAAGGCTCCAACGCCTGCACAGGTGGTCTTTCCAGGAGGGTCTGTGAATTTTCTCAAACGCCTCTGGTAATGTATTAAAAAAAAACGGTATATATATATATATAGATAACCCATTGACTTCGAAGATTTATCGGATATTTAAAATTTTAAATGGTGATTTTTCCTATATGTTCAATCACTAGAGGGATAATGGATGATGTTTTTTTTCATGGGAGTCCGGAGACTGGAGACACGGGAAAAAGTCAAGCGCGGGTTGCGGCAAATGTGCCATGGTCATCCTGCCATCATTAAGGATGCCTTGCCATGATTAAAATCCCTACAAGGTGGTGCCCCAGTTCGTTAGCTAAGTTGGTGCACATAACTCCCATGTCACTATGGTTTATGGCAGATATAACGAACTAGTTTTCATGGGGTTTATAAACCAACAAACATCACTGGGGGGCACCATCCTGTTTATGACAATATGATCCACATGGATCTGCTTGAACCATTCCAAAAAGGACACGTGCTGGGCGAAAACTTGGCGATTTGATCGGATAGACGGATAGACAGTACATACCCCCAATATGTGGGTACCCTCTGGTAAACGTTTAAATAGCAATGGAACGATCCACCATTTTTCATGGGAAAATCCACTATAAATGGTGATTTTCAATAGCTACGTAACAAATTACCAGAGGGTCCTGGCCATGAACTTCATGCCATTGAATCAACTCAACGTCCTGTGCCTGTTGCCAACAGCTCAGACACCAGACATGGGAATCACTAGGTGAATAATACTGACAGATCATCCCATAATCATCCCATTCATATTCCATGCACATGAACTATATATAGATATGCCATAAACCATAGTTAACCATGGTTAACCATAGTTACATTAACCATAGTTAACCATACTTAGATATATCAGGCTATTTTGGCAACAAGTTCAGTCGTCCTGCTCCAAGAAACGACGGCCAGGACCCACCAGAACCACCTCAGATCAGGCAAAAGCTGCCAAACAGGAGCCAAGAAATGGAGAGTCTGATCTCTAGCCAGTACGAGTTGGGATGATTCTTGGTGGTGATGATGTGTATATATATAATGTATATAGTGCATATAATGTATACAATGTAAGTAATGTATATAATGTATATATACACAGATACATATATATATATATATATACACGGTTCAATTGGTATTGTTTGGCAACTAAAACTAGCTAGTTGATGGTTGAGCACCAGGCCAGAAGGCCACCCCTTTTTTCCAACACAGCCGCCAAGGCGCTGGAAGACGTGTTTGGAGCTTGCCCTTGCGTCTCAAGATCTCCTCATGCCTGGACGTGTCGGAAAATTTTTAGAGCTAGAAAACAGGCGGAGATCCTACGATTCTACATGTGGTAAACCCAATAATAAACCCATCCCGAACATCACCATAAATGGGTGGTAACCATCATCCCCGTAGATTTTTTATGGGGTTGACCATGTTACTCAAGTTTTGTGTTTCAGTGGAACATGAACATAGTATTAGTATTACCATCTGGTTATTTAACATAGCCATGGAAAGATCCACGATTTTTAAGAACGGTAAACCATCTATTTCTATGGGCTATCAACAAACCATGGCTATGTAACAAATAACCAGAGGGTAAACATCACTAATATGAAAAGGGTAGTATGATTTCATATACCCTCCAGCAATCAGCCACGTGGCAAGGGTCGCCACTCCCTTTTTGAATGGAGGTTCCAGCTGGGAAAATCATCTATATATCTATGTAATTCTATGTATCTATGTACCTATCTACCTACCTACCTATCTATCTATTCCAATCCAATCCAATCCAACCCAACCCAACCCAATCCAATCCAATCCAATCTATCTATATAAACAACATATTTTTGCAGCACGCTACGTAAAAAAAAAAAAAACACCGGCGAATCATCAGTGGTTTGAGAAAACCATGGCCGGAACTAAGAGGCCATAAGTAATGATGAAACATCTGTCCATCAATGATACATTAAATTTGATGATCTTTAGCATTGGCAACAATTGGCAACTATAAATTAGTTGCTAAAAACAAGTGCCATATATCATGTATCATATCTATTCATATCTCATATCTATTTTTTAGTGCCAATGAAACATATCATAAACATATCACACTTTCTGCGCAAAAAAGCACCGCACAGAAAATCTGCCGTGCCCCAGCCGACCTGCTGGTGCAGGTGCTCAGCATCCATTGCCGGAAGAGGCCTGTGGCCTACGATGCAAAATGCTGGCAGGTTTTTCGATGGATTGAAGCAGCCAGCAGATGTTTTTTTTTGATTTTCCTATAATAAGTGGATAGTATAACCGTTGGTGAACAGGATTTTTTCGTACAAGTGGATAGTATAAAACCTGTAAGTGGATTACAAACAGTATTGGATAGTATAATCTGGCTATACGTGGGTCATGATCATCTCCAGTATATTAATAATTGATTGGAATCAACAGGAGCTTGAACACTGCAAACCTGTGGATTGAAACAACAAAAACATGGTGATTTTGCGGGGATCGCCGCCGCCGCGTTTCTGAGGCTGAGCAGGCTGGTGGGCGGCTTGGACCTGGAGTACGCGTCCTACGAGTTCCTGCGCGCACCCTGGCCAAGAAGGCTGCAGGCAGGTCTGCATCCGTGAAGCGCGGATGGCACGACTGGTAGTGCTGGAAGGTAGCGAAGAGGTCGCTTACCCGGATGCTTCTCCCACATCTCGCGCAAAGCCCCTTGTGCAAGGTTGCACGGCACTTGTTTGACTAAAGAAGACGATTCGATGCTATTTACTGCAATATTATATATATATATATATATGTAGTGGGAAACATATATTCCTTGAAAGTCATCTTGTAATCAGCTGACAGCAGCGATTTTCACTACACAACTTACAGGGTGATGTATTGGCCTGGATGGGTACAATGACCCAGGGTGAGAATGCAGTGAATCAATCTTAGATACATACTGCATAAAAGCATATGTTTCAGCAACATCACTACATTTTTTTGCATTTGTTAAACCAGATTAGACCAGCTAATCGGCTAATCGGCTCTAAATTTCCATCATTTCGTGACATCTTACGGCAAAAGATGACTGAACTGGACGCTGGTTGAACCGCCCAAAAAAAACCGGTTGGTGGATCGCCAATGAATGGTTTTTTGGATCAATAGTATGGAATAGTACTATATATATCCAATAGAATCTAATTATTATCATCATAAAATGTTGGGGATCTAAGCAGCCGGAATGGGCGAGGAGTCGTCAAGCTGACTGCAGCGGTGACTGCGACGGGAACGTTGAACTAACGAACTTTTGATGACTGTTGGTGATAATTATATACATATGTGTGAAACGTTCCCTGGGAAACATAGATCCCCTACATTTAATTAGCTTTTGTTAGATATTTGGGAAAATAATGATGTGTGAAACATAGAATTGGTGTTTTTTTTTTTTCTGGGACATAACTAACATATGTTCACCTGTTTTTGAAAAAATACTTGTCTTTGGGTGATAATTATATATTATATATATAATTATATCTATGACATAATTTTCACCATGTTTTGGAGAACAACATTATGTCACAAAGGAACATGGGGATATTTGGTTTCAACTCGCTTCATTCAATGATGTGTGGTTTCCACTTTAAGGTGCTTCATGGTTTGCGGATTCCTTTGGCCAGAGACAATTCATCATCCCTGGTATGTTACATATAATATATCATATGTAATGTTCAGAATTATATAGATATTATATATATATATAGTATGTATAGAATTAAAATCATATACAGTAGATATTACGTACTACAATTTACAAATATATGATATACCATATGTAATGTATAGAATTATATAGATACTTATACATTATTATAGAATTAAAATATTATCTATGATCAGATAATTTATAATGATAATGATATTATTCATCTATGATCTATTATCATATCATATTTATTCATTAATTTATACATTATTATAGAATTAAGATATTAATGTATAGCAATAATATAATATGAATATATATACTATAATATGAATATATCATATACTATCATTTGCTATAATTAATATAAGATATTATGACTTATACATTTGCAAATGATCAGTCCCATAAACTCTAATTTAATGAAGATCGCAAAAGGTCGCTAGTCATGGTGACCTGGTGACCTCAGCGGCGCCCCGTCTGTGTGAGGTCACCATTCCTAATGCAGCCAGAAAACAGCATGACAAATATCATTTTAGATTCTGGCAAAATCATGCTACACTATATATATATATATATGTATATTTATATATAATAATGATGATAATAGTATATATATATATGTAATTATATATATATAATAACGATGATAATAATATTATCATATAATACTATATATCAACCAAAAGGGCTCGGTTTGTGCTTGTACATAGATGGGCCCTGAAATTCGTTAACTTGCTAGCTGACTTGCAACTGACCACTTAACTAATCCCATGGCGCATCGAAGTATAAGGCCTTGCACATATCGTTCTTTTTGGACACTCCAAAAGGCTCCTTTTTAGCGTGTCTGCGGCAGCTTCGTTCGAACATTGCGATTCATATAATATGGATCTGTCTGAAAATAGGCTACCCCATTCCATCCCATTCTGATTGGTGGTTGACCTACCCCTCTGAAAAATATGAGTTCGTCAATGGGAAGGATGACATCCCATAGTATCCCATATATTATGGAAATTTATGGAAAATAAAAGCCATGTTTGAAACCACCAACCAGCATTGGTTTAGACAGTGCAGCCAAACCACCATGACCATTGGAGCCATTAAAAATACCCCTATCCCATCTCATTATAGGCTGATAGGTTTCCCAATCCTATGGGCTATCATAATCCCCAGTAAACCAGGTAGGATTAAATCCCCTATAGCAATCAATTCACCAGGGTATTTTGTTCATGGCTCATTGGGGGATTGAGATCACCGACGCCACCATCCCGATGCCGCGTCGCCTTCTTTGCCTGTTTACCTTGATACTCGGACCACTCCTGACGGAGAAATATGTCACCCAGTTCTCTCAACAAGGCCGCCTTTAAGGACATGGTGACATGGAATTGGCAAGAGTGAAATGGTCATTCATGATTATTCATATAGATTAATACATAGTAATGTTCAAAATATGTGATTTTTATAAACACAAAAGGAATTGTTATGTTTCAAGACAAATTCAACGCAGGAATCGACTGCTACAAATAGAAACTTTGAACCAACCTGACGTTCGATGAAACCGAAAGCTTACAGCACCTTTGGACAAACACGTGGGTTTATCTCAAACAATAGACAACATGTATTTTCACACATATTGCATTGGCATCGTTGTGAACCACCCCACTGCAAGAACATGCTTAGCAGTTGGGTTTGCACGGTTTGCATTCCAAATTGAGATACAAGATAAAATATATTACAACAGAGAAAACAGAGAGCCCGAATTTATGCTGAATTCACAGGTAGATGATCACAAGTGGCCCAATTGTCAACTTGTTCCCGAAATGTTCATGGAAATTTCCATGTTGGACGTGTCCGAATCACAACTCTTATCTATTTATTGCGGCTTAAATCATCTAAAATTCCCAGATTTTGGATGGTTCACATCTCCATCCATACACTGCCAATTCTTGTTGCTGCGTTGACTGCGTTGGTGAATCCCAACTATCATGTGCTTGGGAAACTCTTGCTACTTGACTCCTATGACTCCTAGTTGATCAAAAAGAATAAATATAGATACAGCCACAGCTCCCTCAAACATTCCAACTTTTTGATGGTTAGTCTCCTCAACACCTCATTTTTGTTGTTAAATCATGGGTTTGTGGTTTGTCTGAAAATACGGTTCATCTAAATCCATTCGTTAGTCATCATGTTTCCAATAAAAAATTGCCATTTACAAGGTGTACCCAGTGTACCCCATTTTCAGACAAACACAAATATAAGATTTATGATGGCCGTTTCCAGCTACAAGCTTGAAACCAATGATTAATTAAACATGTGAAAAAAAGGTGAAATAAATCTGCAAAACATGTGTTTCAAAAATGCATGTTGAAAAAAATGTGAAAACATGCATTTCAAAAATGTGAACAAATGTACAAACAAAATGTAAACATGTGGAAAACAAACTCACATATGTTCAATACTTTTCCTAATTTAAATTGAATAAAAAATACATTCATTGTGAATCTATTGACATGAATCATTGAAAATGAATGTAGCCTATGTGGAATCCTAATATTTAAGTTTAAATATTCTATAATCTAACATTGAATTTCAATTGACACCGGGGGAAAAAAAAAACTATGTCTGGAAAAAAAAAAACATGGAAAATGGAGCCAAGAAAAGGAACTTGTCAACTGCTTTTTTTTCACATTTGTTCACATTTGTTCACATGTCTTTTTCACATGTTTTTCACATTTAGTTTTTTTCACATTGTTGAAATGTTTTTTTTTAAACATTGTTTAAACACAGATTTTCAAAATGCGTTTTTTCCCACATTGTTTTCACATTTCTTTCACAGAAATGTGAAAACAATGTGAAACACATGTGAAAAAAAATGTGTTTTAAAAATACGGTTTTGCTCTTGGAAAAAGTGTGAAAAAACAAGCATTTTGAAAATGCATTTGGAAAAATTATGAAAAAAATGAACATGTGAAACAATATGTGAACAAATGTGGAAAAAGAACATTTGAACATCCAGTTGGGAAGGTGCAACTCTGAAATCTCTTCTTCAGGTTTGATTTTTTAGGGTCCAGTTTTGCTGCAGTTACTTTGCTGCCTGCCCAACTTCTGCAGGTTGAAAATCAGAGAGGAGCAGTTCAAATCGATCGGAAGTGGACTGTGCAGATCGCAGATCTATTTAATTTATCTACAGCAAAACGATGACTACCAGGAGCAATTACTTCTAAATCAAATGAAGAAGGAAAAGAGAACAAAGCTTCAAAATTACTGCAAACAAATGAATTTGCTCACGTTTCTGACACTTTTAAAATACATGTTTTTAACATTTCAAAACTAATGCATTTTTAAAGCACATGTTTGTTCACATTTGTTCACAAACTACTACAACCCTTCTGTAGCTCAGTTGGCCATCATAATATACGATAAATACCAATGATGATCGTTCTGCAAAGATGTTTTAAATGGATATACTCAATTTTATGGATCATAGTTCATCTTGTTCAAGAATGGGGACATATCTCAAGAATGGGGATATATCTCATAATATTCATAAAATCAACAAGTTTTTATCGCCAATATCTATGTCCAAGTTTTGTATATCGCCAATTGTTCAAGTTGATTGTTATCCCAACTGGCTGGTGGTATACCTACCCCTCTGAAAAATATGAAAGTCAGTTGAGATCCTTCTTCCCAATATAATTATCCCAGATGCTCCATGTATGGAATATTTACCTACATTTACCCCAAAAATAGCCCAAATGTACAGTAGGTAAATATTCCAGCACCATGGGTTGCATCTGGGTATGGAAAAGTAAAACATGTTCCGGTCACCACCAAGCAGCCATTTTTATAGGTGGTATAAACAATTCCCGAATGGGTGGTAACCACTATTAATAGTAACTTAGTAACCACTATAGTATATCAATCCCTACAGTAACCAGATATATTATAGGTATACCACTATTAATTCCTATTTTTATTCCTATAGTAATTCCTATTATTAACCATAGATTAACAATAGATTAACCATAGATTCACCATAGATTAACCAGGAAAATTCCATGGTTCCAGTCACCACCTAACCGTCCTACCACGTTTTTCCAACGGCCAACGGATCGATCGAAAAATTTCGCTTCGCCTTGGGCGACATCTCCGTGGAGTCCACCGAGTCCACCAAGCTTCCGTTCTCGACGCTGGAGGCCTTGCCGGCCTTGCCACCTGAAGCTGAAAAACACAAATGGTGGTGGGTTTGACATGTATTACATATATATATATATGTATATATGTTTATATGTATGTATATATATGTATATGTAGTCGTGTATTATATAATATTATATATCATGACAATTCATGACATATAATGTACTTTATGTCGGATAAAAAGATAGAGAGTCAGGGAGATAGATCGGATAAGAACAGATTAGATTAGATAAGGAATAAGTATATATATATATATTTAGATAGAATAGATACTCCTTGATAGATAATAATTGGTTGCGAGCAACTCAGAACCAAAGGAATAATAAATTACAACCAACTGCTCCTGTGCATAGCTAGAAAACATTTGCGCGCTATCCAAGCTGCACCGTGAAAAAAAGATACCAAAACATTGAGGTTCAGATTGACTTACAACCACTAATTTTAGCCATAACTCATCACTCCCTGTCAAGATATGTCAAGGATTTTCAAGGCCCCTTGGCGAAAAGGTCTTACCCTCAGCACCAATTCTCGGGTAGACTCATCCCAGGAACGAGCCTTCAGAACTGCTGGAGGCATCCGAAAAGACGTCCTGGTCGTTGCTGCAACGCGGAGAACGACCACACCGCGTACCCTCCGATGTCCAAAAGGCAACGGGAAATCCCCAAAAGGAGGGAACAGCAATAAACATCACCTACACTTGGTGACTACCCATTGCCACGTTTGATTGTCAGAGGGTACAAAACTTCATGGATCTTGCTTAATTGTGGATGAAAACAATCTCTTGATGTCACAAAATATGGGATGTGTATGGATATGTATCATCAAAGAACCGTCCAGCAAGGGCTCGCACAACCTCTCGATCTGGACCCATACCCTCTGGTAATTTAACATAGCTATTGAAAATGTTAACGTAGCTATTGAAAATGACCATAGAAATAGTGGATTTTCCCATTAAAAATGGTGATTTTCCATAGTTATGTTAGTTTACCAGAGGGTAACCCCAAAGCTAGGATTTCAATCTTGGCTTTCTCAGGAGATTCCCAGGATTTAAATCCTGGATTTGTCCCAGTTCCATGGTCAGGTCTGGTGAATGGATCCCCAAAGAGTGGGGGAAAAAACCCTTGACGTCTCTGAGATGGGAAGCTTAGGGCATGGCAAATGACAACCACGTTTGCCAAACAAATGATTTACTCGATGAACATGGGAATTATATGGGGTTATATGGGGTTATGATGTTTAGACTAAACCATTTGCTTGGATTTGCTTAATTGGAAGCCCAAAACATAGAATATTATATATATATATATCCTGTAGATTCCCACAAGGTGGTGCCCCATAGTTAGCTAAGTTGGTTTATAACTCCCATAACTATGGTTTATGGCAGATATAACTATAGTTTTCATGGGGTTTATAAACCAACTTATAACTGGGGGGCACCATCCTGCATAAGCAGTGGATTTCCCTTTCCAAACATCAACATCGACTTAGCTCCAGCCTCGTACTGCCGCTGTTCCTCATCGATCTGCTTTTCCAAGGCGGCATAGTCCACCTGACTCGGACTATGCAGCTGATCAACAACTCGTTTTTTTCCAGCAAAATCACCAAGCTGTACCCTCTGGTAAACTAACATAACTATGGAAAATCACCATTTTTAATGGGAAAACTCACTATAAATGGCCATTTTCAATAGCTATGTAACAAATTACCAGAGGGTAGCCATTTTTCATGGGGAACATATGGGAACTCTGGGAGAACATCCATGGTCCTCAACCCCAATGTTCCCATCATCCAGTTCAGGGGCAGTGACAAGGCTTCCAGTGCGGGAGTCGCATAGTGTGGTGCTAGCTTGAAATTGGCGATTTTCTTCAAACGGACTTTATGATGTAATAATAACACCCATATGCTCCACGTATAGAATATTTACACACATTTACCACCAAAATGACCCAGTCATGTAGGTAAATATTCCAGCACCACCGGTTGCATCTGGGACATGGTATCTGTGGCAATCTGTGGGATGATTCCAGGAAACCATAGAGATTCCTATGCATTCGTTCTGTCGCATCGTTCTGTCGCATCGTTCTGTCGCATCGTTTTAGCACAGATCTACCACAGCTGAATGACCCAGTCATTTTTTGGCAAACATCCCACGTTTCCGACATCGGATGATCGCTCATCCATGCTCATCCCACGTGGAAACACATCGCTGACAAGGCATCGTTCCCAACCAGATTCCTGATGATTCTCCGTGAAATCTTGTGAAGCCCTTAGACTCCTTAGAAGAAATCCATAGAAATCCCCTAGTGAATGTTGATGAATATGATGAATTTTCCCATGTTTTGCTTGCTTCATTCAAAAAAATACTGGTGGCCATAGTTACGTGGGTTAAATCCAAACTTATGGTGGCCATAGGTATACGTTCTTCTGACCATGGTTATACCTTTTGAACTTTGCCCAAAACCTGACTGCGAATCGTTCTACTGGTTGGTTGATAGGTATTCCCATAATGGATAATAATCATCTCCACCAACCTACCCTATATAGAACTCCCAATTACCCTCTGGTAAATTAACATACACCCTGAAAATCATTGGGGTTGCAAGAAACTCGTTTCCACTAAAAAATTGTCATTTTCAGGGTCGAACTGTGACTTTACCAGAGGGTACTGTAACCTACAATCATCCCATTAATATTCCATGATTTTTCCATTCAATCTAGATATATAAACCATAAACATGCCATAAACAATACTTTTCCCATGATTTTCCCATAGTTTTCCTAGGAAAAACCGTGCCCTTCAAACTGCCCTTCCTGGGCACTGCCATGGATGACACCCAGCAGTGATCTACGATCCGCTGCCTTGACGCGCCGCCGCTTGCCCTGGATGATGTTCCTGGCAACACAAAAAAAACTGGGGGAAAACATGTGAGGTTTTATAGTGTTTTATAGTGTATATATATATATATACATATGGTTAAAGGTGAAACGACCCTGGAGCCGTATAAATATATATATATATATTTATATTATTATATATATATAGACTACCATAAAACACCATAAAACACTATATACTGAAACACTACAAAACAGGGGGAAACATATATAGACAAAACGCACCCTTTATCCCTTTTGTAGTGTTTCAGTACATAGATGATGCGCGGTTTGGCATTTCTGAGAAGATGTTGGGATTCCAACCATTTAACCAAGGATTTGACCATTGCAACTGATGTTCATTGGGCTTTATGTGGCAAGGCGGAGATCATTTGGCTTCTTGGGATGGGGATAGAAATGGATAGAAGCAAGCATTTTGTAGGGAAGTTTGTGATGTAACTGGATATGTTTATACTATATCTAATTGGTGGTATACCTACCCCTCTGAAAAATGATGGAGTTCGTCAGTTGGGATGATGACATTCCCAATATATGGAAACAAAAATGATCCAAACCACCAACCAGATATTGTACCTAGTCATCCTGGCGTAGACAGGATATGGACATGTCAAAAACACACTGTAAATTTCATCTGGTTTTGACAACTATTGTTCTACTTATTCAGGATGATTATATACAATTATAATTATATCGTCAGTAATATGGCAAGGTTTCTTCTCAAGCCGAGAGAAATGGTAATCCCCCTTATCAAAGGATGGGGACCATGATGTGTTTGAAGAAGTGGATCGAATGGGGCTTCGATTTTTGAGCCCTAATTCTGCAGATTCTGGCATCTCCAGACACCAAAAAATGAGTTCTGGCTGAACGATGCCTGTTTCCGTGCTTAACCATAAGATGTCGCGATGCCTCCTTCATTGTTGAAACTAATTGTAAAAATGTCTTAATGGTTGATGATAAACATACTTTCTTTTTGGTTGACAATGTTCATACTCATGAAACTTGTCAGTTATGGCTCGGCTACCACCCAAAAGATATACTGGTCAGTTGCGATCACTCAGGTATTGGTTTATAATTTATATCCCTTCGAAATCCGTTCTTAGCAAAAACAGTAACTCAACCTTTATGGCTAAAGACGCTTAGGCCAAATCACCAAAAACATACAGTAAAAACCATGCTTAACTATTGAACATCTGGCCACATCTCGTATATATTTATATACATTAAGTATAGATAAGTAATATGTGTGGAAATAAGACCTTACTCAACCCGTGTCAACCTGTTCTCATCCCCAACCCCACCTGGAGTCGAGACCTTCCAAGGTGTTGTCATCCGCATCTTCCTCCAAGAGCCTAGCGACTGGTCGACTGGCCACGGGCCACCAGGCCAAAAGAGATGCAGATCTTGGAGGTTTCGCGGTTATCAATGGAAAGTCAAAGAGTCAAAGATTAGTATTGTCTAAATCATGTTTTCTATAATTGTAGAGATGATAGAAATTATAGAAAATTATAGAAAACAATGATAGATCATCTCTACAATTATAGAAAACATGATTTAGACAATACTAATGTTTTTTTTTCAATAGAAAAAAAAGTAACAAAATACTCAAATACCACGCCAAGTAATATGAAGTTTGTTCAGGACCATAATCTCAAGTCCCGGTGATTTATCGCACGAAGACAACTGGGGCTCCAAATGGGAGTAAATGGGCATTTTTTTTTAAAAAAAATAACACCTGTAAGTTGGGATTGTTTAGCCCTATCATAACTTATTATAACTATATGGTTAAGTGGTATGATTCCACGTTAATATCCACATGAATATCAACTTACCCTCTGGTAAACTAACAGTTCGCTATGGAAAATCACCATGCTTTTCATGGGTAAATCCACTATTTCTATCACCATTTTCCAGTTCGCAAAGTGTTAGTCATTACCAGGCCGGGTATATCCACTTCTGCGTGACTTAGTGAAACTGCACCCGACCCATTTCCTGCACCCCCACGGCACCAGTTGACGGTCGAGACGGTTTCGCCCTCTTGTAGCACCCAAACGATCACCTGCCGCGAGGGGGGAAACCAAGGAGGCATTTTTTGTCTGAAGAAAGGTGGATTGAAGCAACAAAAGTAGGGATTAAACATGATTAAACCATATTAAACCATGAAACCTTGGACTTTAACACGTGAAACATCGGGGTTCAGCCAACAAACATCGGATTCCACCACCACCAGGCAGAGGATGGTAGAGCTGTTTTGAGGTTCTTTCTATGCCTTTTGGGAAGCCACAGACCTGGCTCCTTGCCAAAGGAAACCATTCTGGTGCGAAAAAATCGGGACGCAAACTTCTTTTTTGAGAAACACACACAGGTTTGTCCTCCAAAAGTCCTGCAACATTTGGACATCCCGAACTGATGACTGAGTTCAAATGGTCTGGGTCAAAATTCAAGACACGGGGCACCGCAGTTGGTCATCTCCAGATTTTTTTGGCATGAATTCAGCCACTTTTTGGTGGCAACCAAGGATTAAAACCATTTAAAGAGGCAGCCAGTTCTGCACCTTTCAGAACCCCATAAAGGGTCCTCCATCAATGGGCGAAAAAATCGGAATTTCGGCTGCTTGGTCCATGGTCCATGGTCACCATGATCCCGGATGTCCGGCCGGCGCCTCCGGGGTGCTTTTGGATGCAATGGTTTGCCAGCCATCCATGTCAATGCGACCTCAGCTCGCGACTGGGATCCCCTTGGATCAAAACCACTGACTGCTGGACCTTGAATTTTTATACATTGATATTGGGGGACCTATCATCAGGTGCAGTGACCACTTGATCAACTGATATAAACTGATGTAAACTGATATAAACATATATAAACATATATAAACTGATATAAACTGATTGCTGGCAGAAATCCCAACAACTCCCAAACATCTTCAAGTCTTGTTGGGGATCATCAGAGAAAAATTCTGTGGCTGAAAACAAGAAGTGAAACCGCACAGCACCATATAAAATCCCATCATGGTGTATCATCATTTTCCCTCTACACATCCGAACATGCCATAACTTGGTACATTGTCCTATTTCCGGAAAGTTCCAGAAAAGCTATCTTATAGTTTGTATGAACATGGAGTATACAAAACCAAAATGGTCATTTTCTAAGAAGGACAAATAGATGACCAATGGATTGAGGGGTGCCCAGCTTTTCAGACAAGGCCATAACTGGTTGGTGGTTGACCCCTCTGAAAAATGATGGAGTGAGTTCGTCAGTTGGGATGATGACATTCAATTCCCAACTGAATGGAAAGTCATTCAAAATTCCATGGTTCCAGTCACCACCAGCCAGATAATGTTGGAATGATCCTCCAATGAGCTGCAACTGCCTTTTGGTCTCTTGAATCCATGCTCCGGCTAAACGGCTAAAGCTCCTGGAGTTGCCGCGAACATAGGGCACTGGTGGTTGGCTCCCTGTGGATGCAGAAGTATGGAACCTAGCCCAGGATGAAATTCAGCTAGGTGACCGCAATCAATCTAGATGAATTATATAAAATATGATATACCATCTGGTTATTTAACATGGCCATGGAAAATCCCTCATAAATGGAGGTTTCTAGCTGGGAAAATCATCTATAAAATGGGCAATTTTCCCATTTTCTATGGCTATGTTAGTCATAACCAGAGGGTAATATTATATTATATTATATTATATACTTCAGCGACTTGAAATAAGGCTATTTCCTGGTTGGAGTTACTCCGACATTGCTCACCATTCGAGGTCCTCATGCCAGCTTTGGATCTTTTTGGATGGTTGGCATCGAAGAAAGGGGCGACTTACTGGCGCTAAACGTAGGGATTCTTTGGGAAGGATCCAGAATAACTATCATCCCAAAAATAACAATATAACTATCAATAACTATGGATAATGATAGATGGGATGATAACTAGTTATTGATAGCTATTGATAGTTATTGATAGTTATCATCCCTACCAATAACTATTAATAATGATCCAGAATAACTATCAATAACTATCAATAATCATCCCAGCAACCCCCAGTCCCATCCAGCAACCCTACGTAAAACGCAACGCACCAGTAGGACCCAGTCAGGTGAATTTCTCTTTCAGCCAACAGCCAACAGCCAATCTACAGCTCCAGAGGTCCTCCTTTGGCAACAAAGGCAAGCCATACAACTTGGCGCAGGTGTCGTGGAGCAAGTTCCGCCGATCCTCCTGTCAAGTTGGTTCAGTTTGAAAACACCACGCCGAAGAAGGAGGATATCCACGATTTCGCTGGAGCAAAACATAACTGAGTTATGTGAGTTATGTTAGTTCTAATTATAGTAACTATAGTGACAATAACTATAGGACAATAACTATAGTTATAAAACATAACTGAAGAAAAAGGAGTTTGAGTTTACTTGATTTGGCCGTGACAAGTTCACTATCGGATTTCACCAGCCAAACTGGCGAGGAGACATGATTTTCGGACAACAAAGATTACGATGTATCCTGCTAATCATCAAGATTCATCAAGCTCTTTTGCATTTGAAGATCTGAAGAATCTATGCAAAAACATGATCATTTCGAAGCAGTGTCTGAAAGAGAGGCTGGGAAACATATGCAAGTTTAGAGATGGTGGAACATCACTTGTGGTTGAACATCAGCGGCCAAGATGGTTGTCCAATGGGGGTTTCCTAAACCATGGGTACCCAAAAATGGATGGTTTAGAATGTAAATGGAAAATCCATCTATATAAATGGATGATTTGGGGGTACCCCCATTTTGGTAATCTTCCAAATCACAGAAACCTCATGGACGGGGCTTGAGTGTCTTTGGATGGAATGATACAGGAAAGCCATGGAGTGTCGTAAGTTGCCTCAAATCATCAACCCAAACAACTCAGTGATTGTGCAAAAATCCCACCAGGGTTATGTAAGCTCCTCCTACACACCTGACTTTGTCCGTGACCATCATCTGGGGGTTCCATGTAAGATGTTCAGTGAAAAATGGTCAATGTATAATATATAATGTCAATGAGTATATTCTGTCTGTTCAATTCCAGCTTTGCTCAACAAAAAAAACTGTTTCTTGTTGGAAAAAAGCAGGGGTCAATTAAGCGTCCAACCGTCCTCCCAAAAAACCGTCACCTTTTAAAGAGCGCCCTGCCAGCACTGCCAGCCTCACTCATCTCTTGCCAGATCGGCCAAGCTTCCGGGGCCTGAACGGCCTGTGGCGTTGCAATTGGAATTTTCTGGGGGATACCAAGCCTGGAGATGATGTCTGTTATGGCTATAGAATATAATATGATTATATATATATATATACATTATAATATATATATATACATATTGGCTATGGTATGGTTCAAAATTGAAAACCGTACCCGAGCCACAGAACTTAGATGAATTCTAGTGAATGGGTCCAATCGTCAACTCCTTGGTACTGTGAGTTGGCTGCGAATCCAAATAAAACCACAACCACAGAACCAAATCATAAGTGGATCAAAGAAACCAACACATTCCTATTCCTATGCTAAATGAACTACAATACATTGGATTTGCTGATCTGGCCACCCCCAAAAAAATAAAACATATCCCGGATATCCCCTTTTAAAGGATTCCCCCATATTTCTGACTCAACAATCTCATTGGGAAAAAATAGACAACATCTTCAGAAAATCATAGGGCTTTGTAAACCAAACCATCATGGGAATCCATGGGACATCTTTCAGGATTGATGGGTCAGCAATCCCTACTTCATGGCTCATCCCACGAATCGTAAGCTAGTTCACCCCACTTCTAAGTGGAAATTCCCTTTATATATGTATATATATGTATGTATACTTATCCCACCAACAAAAGAAGGGATGTGAATCACCTACTTACTCCATAGATATCCCACATCCATCATAGAAATCCCATAGAAACCTCATAGAAATCCCATGGAAATGACCACATCTCCATCCCGCCTCTGCATAGCTAGAGTGCTCGGTGGCGTAAGGGAAATCCGAGCCCCACCTTGTGGTAAATGGTTGCTGTAAATGATGGTGCTTGCCTGGTGGTTAAACGATGTTACCCTCTGGTTATGACTAACAGTTTGCCATGGTTTGTTGATGGCCCATAGAAATAGATGGTTTACCGTTCTTAAAAATGGGTGGATTTTCCATGGCTATGTTAAATAACCAGATGGTAAATGCTACTTAAGGATTTTAAATGATGTTACATGATGTTAAATGCTACTTAAATAATGGAACACAATGTGATATTAGAAATGCTACAGTGATCTCATGTAATATCAAGGCCTGTTGATGGTGCTTAGGGCATCAGCTGTTGGACAAATCGTTGGTAATTTCCTGAAAAAATGACCACCGAGAAATGGTTTTGTCTTAAAACATATCTTGAAACATATGATACCCCAAATCCCATATTAAGATATTTCCGTGTTAAATTTAAGATGTCCATGTTAAATATGGCTACCCTCTGGTAAACGTTTACATAACTATGGACAAAAAACACCATTTTTCCGTGGGAAAATTCACTATAAATGGTGATTTTCCATAGTTATCTTAAATTACCAGAGGGTAAGATATTTCCATCTTAAATATTGCTATTTATCATCCTGGGAAAAAAAATATATATATATATATGTATATATATATATGTATATATATATACTGTATATCCCACATTCAGTGGCTTTATCATCATTTTTCATCCTTTTCCATGTTAAATAGCAACTCTTGGGATATACCACATCTTCAAACACAGTCTGATGGACTATATGGATCCTGGAATCTCCTGGATGTGTCAACTCTTGGCCCTTAAACTGACACGTCTAAGAAGGTGACTTGGCCGTGACAATAAGGCAACTCCAACGAAAATCCCATGGTTTATCATCATATTCCCATCTTTTTTTCATATGACCCATAAAAATGCACAGTTTCAGATTTTGAGCATGAAAAAGGTGCATTCCGTAAATATACCCAACCCTTTTTCATACATCACTCACCTGCTTTTGAACTGGGCCTCCCAGCAACAGCCGCTGGGAGCCAAAGGTCTTTAGCAACTCCTGGGCGCTGTGGCGACCATCGACACCCACCCTGTTGCGTTGTCGTTGTTGTGGGATATGCCATTTATAAATATACTTAAACCAGATTATAGAATTACATACGCAACATATTTTAAATATTATAAATGATTTACATCTAAGCCTGGACCTTCAAGTGATACAATTATTTTTGCTCAATTGGTTGTTGAGCATTTTTAAGGGTTTCGAGCAGATTTTGGGTATTTGAGTCAAATCGAACAAAATGGCCTCAATCGAGCAATTTGGGAGGTTGCCCAGACTTGCTGCCATGTGGCCCTGGAAGAAGGTGAAATATCGATATTAATCAAATAGGAATCAATAAATTGATGGCCATAACCTATAAATATATTATTATTGTAGATCTATTATATCATTTCAACATCTATAGGTGGCTAGATCAGTACTAACTCAAAGCCCTTTCAACTTTGAACCGTGTTGACCTCTGATGGCTGCTGTCATGGCGGCTGCACCCAGCCAGGCACATCATCAGCATCGGATGTAGCCTGGGGATTGTTGGATGGGATTTTGTCCTATGGAATCCAAAGAACTCCAGGGTAATAGATTGAGATGTCGAATCCATATATTCCTTGCTTTGCCCAACTGGCCCCACTTTGAGATTTGCACCTGCTGTGGCACCCATAGAGGCAAAATTCGAATGAAGAGCTTCGTCCTGGTGTGCATCGAGGTCCACACCCCCTGTGCTGATTTGGGGTTTTTATAGTTGATATTTATATATATATATATCTGTCTACCTATCCATCCATCCATCCATCCATCCATCCATCCATCCATCTATCTATATCCATCTATTGATCCATCTAGTACTCTTTCCATCTATCCATCTATCCATCCATCCATCCATCTATCTTTATCTATCTTATAAATATGTATCTATAAATATCTATCTAAAGAATATGATATCATGCATATCCATAGCAGCCTGCATGGCCCTAGCTGTTGGATGCCTATATACATACCATGGCATATATAATCATGCACATCTATAGCTCACACTTGGCTCAAATAGCTTCCTGGATCAACGTGTGGCAATGGCGACCGATGTTGCCACTGCTTGGGAAGCGAACGTGGGGATTCGACGTAGGGCCCTGAAACACCAGTTGGTTGCCTAATTGAATTAGCTCCAAAAAAGTTTTATTGCATTATTTTATTTTGAATGGTAGCATCTCAAAACTTGAGGTTGACTATGGCGTCAGAAAAAGGTTCACTCGTGATTCAATTGAGCTCAACGAGCCCTTGCTGGAACCAGTGGTCCAGCACTTGGGCAGCCGTGTTAGCGTTGACACCTTGTACATGCACATCGAGTCGCTGTATGGGTTAATGGAATGTCCATGCCCAAGTCTCTAGACCCAATCATATGATATTTTTGGTTTCTTACATATCTCATATATGCCAATTCTTACATCCAAATATGTTTTATATTTATAAGGATTACCCAGCCCAGGACATTCTATTGCTATGCAAGCCTGGTCATTGAAGCGATGCCTGTCAGTCTTCAACCGTGCAGCCAGCAGGCCCCACAGGCCACGTTTGGGAGCCATTCGCCGGTTGATGCATGTGGCAGGAATTCCAGTACCAGAGGAACCGCAAAGGGCTCGACAAATTGGTGAGGCCTCTTCATCCAGTGCAATCTCAGATTCGGAAGATTCGTCCAGTTCTGGTGAGGATTCAGACAATCATGATGTTGCCCCAGAACCAGAGCCCACTCCAGTAGAACCAGATGCACTCCCATGTGCTGAAGTTCCCATGGATGAGGAATCCCACCCACCGGTCCTGCCAGATGAAGTGCCTGTCCAGGAACATGCACTACCTGTTGGTGAGAGCCGGGTTCATGCGGATGATGGTGGGGGAGCTTCATCGGGGGCTGCAGATTCCAGTGATTATGGGGCCACACTTACGCCATCGACTCGTGAAGGACCACCCAAATTCATTGACCAGTTCTTTTTGTTGGTGATACATCTATAATATAATATGTATATATATATATAAATAATATATATTATATGTTATAGTGGTGTTTTCCAAACAAAAACATATTATATAGGAATTATCTATTGTTCCAGGATCAGTGGACCTGCAGACACCATCTCCTCTCCCTAAATGCCCCTAGGCTAAAAAAAAGCATGCTTTTAAATCGTTTTTTTTTTGGGGGTGCCCCTGCCAAAAAGGTTGTATCTATAGTTTCTTTCAGAACATAGCCTGTCATCATCTTAGGTGAGCCCACCGTCACGCCCCCAAAGCATTATAAGCATGACGTCCAGAATGTCTTTGGCTTTTGGGTATGCAAACAGTGCAAAGGGGAAGCGCGCACTTTGACCATCATGCAATCTATGCCCTGCAATGCAGCTATTGTGGAGAAGATGAAAGAGATTGAACCTTATCTTTTCTTATGCACTGAAACCTTGTTCCAAATCAACCCTCATATGGCCCCAAACAATATAGAACAAACATCTTTTTGGAGGTTGGAGGGGTTTGTTAGAGTCACCCTTTACCTAGAACAGGGGTTCCAGCCATCCAAAGGAAAGGTTGAAGCAAATCAAGAAGCAAATGGACATCCTGGTGACTCTTCAAGCCTTGAAAGAGCAGAAGGAAAGGGTTGAGGAAGCAAAGATCGATGCCTCCATCAGCAAACTTGATGCGGTTGTATCTGCACCATGCTGCCCACCTCGGACAGCTGAAAGTTTTAAGTGGGGGTATCCATATAATCAATTTATATATATATATATTTATAATAACATATATATATATATAATCGATGGGTAAGATATCTATACATGGGGATGTGTCATGGGGAGAATATATATGTTTTTTAGCGATTTGTTTTCCAACAACATACCACTTAGGCTTGGATACTGATGAGACCCAGCCCTTGAGTCCAAGTGTGGACATTGAGGAAATTGCCAAGACACTGGCAGTACCGCCTACAGACCCGACTTGCAAACAGTTGCAATTTGATCTCAAGCCTGAGACCCCGCCCAAGGAAACGGAACATCCCACAGCAGAACCGCCCAAGGTCGACCAGAAACAGTTGAAACTTGATCCCAAGCCTGAGGTGGCCCCGCCCTTGAAAAGGAAAGCCACATCCCAGCTAGAAAAGGAACCGGAGGCACCAGAGCCGAACCCTGACCAGCTTGACAAGCCTGCAACTCCCAAGCAATACCAGCCCCTGCCATTGCCTGAAAAGCCAACTTGTATTGAGTGCCCCAAGAAGAGCATTCAGCCCATCAGCCCACAACAGCAGCTGCAATCTGTCAAAGAGAAGACTCAGACAGACGAACCTGATGACACTGACGACCCAGGAGATGAATCCCCAACCAAAACCAAAAGACCTAAGGCCGGGAAACCAAAAGCGAAGGCAAAGGCGAAAGCAAGGGGTCGCCCCCCCAAGGCAAAGGCGAAGGCCACTGCCAAGGCAAAATCCAAGCCAGCCACCAAGCAGACCAAAGCAAAAACGACAGGAACAAAAAAAGTTGCAGGCAAGGTGAAAAATGAGGCAGTGTCATCAACAGAGGATCCTGCTGGTGACACTGTTGAGGATCAAGCAATTGAAGAGGTTCCAGAAGGACCCCCCAGAAAGAAGTGTAGGACCAAGAGAAATCAAGCAAACAAGACAAAGTCCAAGGGAAAGAGCAAGAAGACTTCCAGGAAGGCCAAGAGAAAGAGCAAGAAGACTTCCAGGAAGGGACGCAGCAACAGCAAGCATGGCAAAGTGAAAACCAGTCCAGGTGACAACGATCCAGAGGACCCCCCGCACAATGGGAGCACTGAGGCTGATGACCGCAAAAAAAGGTACAGTAGGAAATCAGCTGCATACCATCGTGCAAAAAAACAAGCCTTACAGGAAGGTTTGGATGAGGAGCAGGCAAAGGCCAAAGGCCAAGAGGTTACCTAGCTGCCTCAAGTTTATGATTTCGTTTTTATTTGTTTGTTTTTTTGGATGATCTACGATCTATAATATAAGATCCCTCAATATCATGTTATAATATATATATATATATAATATATGTATATATATATATTAGGTCGATCTCTCGATCTATCCCAATCTCCATCTTGATTCTATTGATCTTTCTGTCCCATAGTTGTAGATAGATAGATCGATTGATCCTATATAAAATTATATTTTCCCTGTCGACAGCCCAGGCCTACAAGAACACAGAGTGACTTGCCAAGTACTCGCATTTCGTGAGTTGAGCTTTTGGAGGATTGGGGAAGCTATGATATACAATCATGGCCATCTTTGAGTGTGATTACACACTTTTGGGTTTCAGCATGCGAAGCATGCCACTTATCCTAGCTATTTGTTGCTGGGCCGTTCAAGTATTGATCCATATGCGCTGCAAGCAGCTGATGCCTGCTTGACTCTAGGCATCAAGTGCAGGTGAAAGGAAAATATGCTGCAGCTATAGATTCCTGCAATTATGTCATTCGATATTTGGAATTTAAATTTCCCATTTCCCTAAAGCCTATCTCCAAACAACCATAAAAAATCAAAGGTCCACCTCATTTTGCTGAGCCATATGAGTTGCACCACAATATTTTGTTGCCCAGCCTGAGCCCCCCAGCAGCCCACGCAGGTAGTCCTTCTCATCTTCGTGGGCTCAATGGAGCTATGGGCCTTGCGGCAGCTCTCGGCGATGGGTTGCCACGACATGTTTCTTTTTACTGCCCCAGCTTTTGGTGAGTAGACTGCACCTGTTGATATATATAATATTATATAATATATCCTACATCCCAAGCCATTTTGATCAAAACATCAGTGATTTGCGACCATGCCCAAGCGATGGGAATCTATCATCCCCAACCTCATACACCTTCAGGCCCCGAAGGTGCCATGCTTTTGTTTCAATTTGGCATGCACAAACCATTATGCATCAAATTAACATATATTGCTTTGTTCTCCTGGGGGGCCTGATGCAGGTGTTTGTGGGAATAGCTGGAACCTTAATTGGACATATGATAATTTGACAGATCAAAGCATATTATAAAACACATGGGGATAAACTCTGAGGTCATCCTCTTGACTTTCACTGACAATGTCGACTTGGGGCTACGAACGCAATTCTTTGAATGTTTCAGTGGTCAAGCTGCTGTGAGTCGTGTCTTCAAACGTGAAGGGGTCCCCACTGTAAGCTATGACATCGAGATGGCCTCTGGAAAACGAACTATGGATATAACTTCGGAAGCTGGGTATGCGTCAAACCCTCAGGATTGAATCCATGTAGATCCCTATATTAAAATATATTGATTTGTCCTATATTTGTGTACAAGAGTTCTTGCAAGGCACCCATCCCAGTCTAGCCATTGGCTGGGCCAACCTGCCGCTGCAGGCTGTGTATGATGGTGGTTCTCCAGGAAGCACCGAACGCACTGAACCTTGTAGCACCAGACTGCTCTTCTTTCACGGTGGTGAGTCGTGGAACTAGTATGCGTACTCCAATAAATCCATTGGGACGGGATGGAATTGCATTTGTACATTCCGCAAATGGTTCAGTATCAAGGCTGGGGCTGATCAAGAATCATGGGATTTTATGGTATTTTAACATGCATATACCATATATTAATCAATGGGGTCCCCGAAATAATATCCCTGATGCAGGCTGGTTTTACTATTGCTTCTCATGGTGGCCTGCCACACTATATGGTGCATGGAGCAGCCCAAAGGTAGCGAGACGGTGTTGCCTCGACACCCGAGATTTGAATGGTTGTGCAACCATGTTCTCTATGACTTTTAGCTGTATTCAATTAACTTTGTATTTTACTCACACCTGCATGTATATAATATATATATATGCATATAATTAAGTATGCATATATATATATATATCTATATATACACACATGTAAATATATATACACCACATGTTTTTACCTGAGGTTCCACCCACTCTATCCAGCCTTGTCCTGTGGCTCAGGTGTGGAAGGCGTCATTTTGGATGGCGCACTATGGCCTGGAGAGTGCTAAACGGACAATCTTCTGGGGGAACTCAGAAGAGCTGATGGCTTCGATGGACTGGGGTGGTGTTGCCATATGTACACCAACATGTTTTACCATTGATAAATATATTGAAATATATACAATTTAATAGATGATTTCAAATTATATAAATCATCTATCAAATTGTTTATATATATTATATATTATATATGGTTTGTATGCCAGGACAAAGGCCCTCTCACCAAAGAGCAGCGAGAGAAACTTTCCCTTGAAACAACCAGTGGGGGCCTCATATGTGATCCATGCATATATCATATGCATGGATTTGGAAATTTATTATTTGAAACTATTTTGCCTGGGCAGGGCGATATCGTGATCGCAATGGTGTGATGAAGTTCCAGGGAGGGAAAGATTTGAAGCGAAGTGGGTTGGAGCCTCTGGGTCCTAAAATAACCACCTTTACAGCTTATAATTTGTTGCATTCAGAATTCTTTACAATCTTAACCCCACATCAATCACACTTGGCTCAGGGCCTATCCAGAAGGGCTGGGAGTTCATCTACACCGTGTGTGGAAAGAGATCAAGGACTTACCTAGGCATTGCCTACGCCAAAAGGTACCCTGCAGTTCCCAGGCAACTGACAAGGAACTATTCCAAAGCATGCCCCTAGGTGATACTTGGCCAGAGGCAGAACTTATTCAGACTTGGGCCTACCTTTACCGCAACAAGCATTTGAAGATACCCGACAGCTGGCAAAGCACGTTGAAAGAGTTCCACGAGACTTTGATGGACTCAGTTCAATTCTTAGATATCAGCCCATTCATCAAACCACCCTGGTTCAATGAATTTCCCAACCCAATGTGTTTGTGTGTGTGTGTGTCTTGCCTGGCACGAGGTGCTGGCTGAAGATCCTGGGCGTGCTGCACTGAGGGCTGCATACTGGCAGGATGCCCAAACCCAACGGGACTTGTGATATGGTCACTGCCAGTCCTTTTTTGGACAAATTAATGAATAATTCGGGACAAATATGTGAAAATTTGATGATAAATAAGCAGCAAATCGGCCGCAAAACGGGCGCAAAAACCCCGCAAACGGGCGCAAAAACCCGCAAACGGGCGCAAACTGGAAAATTGAAAATTTATGAAACTTTAGTATCTGGCCCCAAACCATCAAACTCATAGGCTTCCAGGGGAATATGTATATCAACTTTGGTGGGCCTATGGTTATAATGTATAAATTTTCCAGTTTGCTCCTATTTTGTGGGTTTTGCGTGGTTTTGTTTTTGTGGATGATGCAAGTCTGGCTGCATAGTGAATGTGCTGTTTGTGGCAGGCATTTGATTTTCCTGGTTCAAAGGGGGTTGCTGCTAGAACTATAGATGTCAAGTTCTAGGTTCCGTTCCTGCTCTACTTTGAACGCAGGCATAGCCATGGTAGATGCCCAGTTTGCAGGGTTAAACCTTGCACAACTTGAAGAACACATTCGGGTTGCTAGCAGGCACATAGGTCGATCCCAGATTTGCTTTGATTTTCCATAGATCCCATTTTCTTAGCCTGCCACACCCTACCACTAAGGTTGAAACTGAGAAGCTGCAGGCATTGCAGCGGGATGCTGGCCTGGCAGCTGGTGTCGCTGAGGAACCAGTGGGCAAAGGACCCTTTGGTGAAAGTAGGAATTGTAACACCCAAAAAAAGGGATGTATTATAGGGTACCTGTGGTTTCCTATGATAATATGGTACCCCCAAATCATCCGTAAGATTTTCCATGAGAAATAAACCATCCATTTTGGGGTAACCCCAAAGAAATGCCACAAAAAAAAACAATATTATATATATATATATATGGGAGACCTCCCCATTATATATATATATATATTAATATATATGATATGTATTTTATGGGTATACGAATTGATGGTTGATATGGGATGCACCTATAGTTTTGGGGTTCCAGTTCCTATCAAACCCTTTCAGGACATGGTGTTCACGAAGCAGTATCGGCAGGGATGTTCATGCCGGGGCATGGAAAGTTTCCTGTTGGACATGCTGTTGAATCTGAGTTACAACTCCTTGGCCATACCACTACTAGGGGTGAAGTTCCACAGCAACACAGTCCAGGGTCTGAGGGTGTCCCACCAGTACCTGCCACAGTTCCTGAGAGTGTGATGTCGCCTGCCACGCCAATGACAGTGGCCTATGCACCTGCCCCAAAGGTAGGGTCACCTACCACGCCAGTGCCTGTAGTACCTGCAGTACCTGCCCCAAAGGTAGGGTCACCTGCCACGCCAGTGACAGCGCCACCTGCAGTACCTGCTGCAAAGGTAGGGTCACCTGCCACGCCAGTGACAGCGCCACCTGCAGTACCTGCTGCAAAGGTAGGGTCACCTACCACGCCAGTGCCTGTAGTACATGCAGTACCTGCCCCAAAGGTAGAGTCACCTGCCACGTCAGTGACAGCGCCACCTGCAGTACCTGCCCCAAAGGTAGGGTCACCTGCCACATCTGGGGGTGTTGCAGTGGGGTCGCCTCCAATTAGGGGAAGTGGGATGTTTCAGGGTTCCAGTACCAATTTGGCAAAGCCTTCATCACCTTCCCCATCGGTGGCCCCTTCATCAACGACTTCAAAGACTTCCTCGAAATATGACAAGTACAAGGATGGATCATATTGGAGGAAACTTGCATATGTTTAAACAAGCAATGATATATATCTATCTTGATCATTTTACCTCATCTTATTTTGTCATGTGTTCTTCCTGACCCCATTAAGGATGAAGAGATACTTTGAGCCGGATTCTGGCAAATTGGCCTGTTCCCAGCAAGCCTTGGAGATGTACCGGGACCCGGAGAAAAGAAACATGTTTGCACATATGCATTCCTTAATATCCATTGAATCTAAAGGGACACATAGGGGTGGCTGGCACATTTGATCGACCGACTGCCCAAGGAGAGGAGCTTCGAGCCATGCTCTTGCAACATGGGTCATTCAAAGAGGTTGAGGTTCAATTGGCCAAGAAGTCCAAACAAACGGCTTCCAACAAGAATGCAGGTGGTTGGCAAACCGAAGTTTCTCTGAGGGAGATTCACAAATGGACACCGTGTTTTGGTTGCAATATTATATACCATGCATGAATTTCAAACAAATCAATTAAGAACCTAAAACATCTTATGTATCCTTCACCGCCCAGGGAAATGATCAGCTTCTCGAAGGAGTACGCTCGCAGTAAGGGCTTACTTCAAAAGTCGGAAGTTCATGGACAGTGGGAATGGAAGATAGTCACCGACAAAACCTTTGCCTTTGAAAATGAGACCAGCCAAGAGACATCCACAAATGGAACCATGACAGTGCAGGACTGAATGCAAATACATCATGATGGATCTCATGGTTGGTTAACTGCATGTTCTTTTCAAACAACTATATTATTGCCACATTGTAGGATGATGCTGGCAGCTTGCTTACCAACGACGTCACAGCTGAGTCTGCCCTCATGTTTCCCAGCAGCAGTGGGTATAGATGTCACACCTGGTTGCCCAATCCCACCCAATTGCCAGCCTGGTAAGTTGGTGCGACTTTCCCCCATATTCTCGATCAGGAATGGAGCCTCTGGCCAAAGCGAGGCCAATGTGGCTAATGCCCATGCTGATACAGCAGCCACTGCTGCGAAGACCCAGAGCTTGCCAGTTTTGCAGAGCAATCAGGAGGTGTATAGCTTCATAGCTGCAACAGGCTAATGCAAAATATAAAGTGTAGCTGATTGAAAAACCCGTTTATAGGACCTGCATGATTAATCATTTTCTTGCCTACTTAGGCCTTCTCTCCACCTACATAGATCTTGTTGGGAAGAAGGTGGATAAGACGTCAGAGCTCCAGGATTGCATATGTCCACAAATGCATGCTATTTTTTTAAAAGTGCATGTGGGCAGGACAAGCTGAACGACATGAAGATGGATCGTGCGACTGAGTAGCTCGCATGCAGCTAGTGTGATATTGTGTGCATACATGCATGCATTTTTCCACATGCACTAGCCCATCAGGATGGCTGGCCAACTTCAGCAGAAGAAGGAGGAATTGGAAGTGCACTACAAGAAGCTGCTGGACCACCAAATGAATTCCATGACAGGTGATGCTCCCCCGTCCAAGACGGAGAAGCAGGATTTGGTTCGGTTGTACGTCGAGTGCACCAAGACTGATACGGCCATCAACCATCTCACTACCCGAGCAAGGACATGAAATACTTTAAACACCTGCATGTGGTATATGCAAGCAAATCTTTATAAGTCATGACTTGTGTGAAAACTACCCATGGCTAAAGTTCTGTGGGCATGTGAGGACAATCAAAGTGCGCAAGGAGAAGGCTTCTGAGAAGTCGAGCAAGAGCAAGAAAACGGAGAAAGAAAAGGAAAAGAAGTCGAAGAAAGATAGCAAAACAAAGGCTCGAGGCAGCAAACACATGAAAACAAAGGAGGAATCGGACGATGATGAGGAGGAGGAAGTTGCCACAGGAGCAGCTGATGCCGTAAAGAAACGCCGAAAGACCAAGAAGTAGATCATTTTTGATAGCCTGCCATGTAGATGTCTGCAAAGCAGCCCTTGGAGTTTAGATGTGAAATTTCTGAAAGAGTGCGTGTATACATATATACATGCATGTGCCGTGCAACCGTGCAACAATTTGGACTGGGGTCCAAAAGAAGTTAGTTTCTGGAAGCTGCATTCATGGTGATTTTCCTTCCCAACAGTCCTTGTGCTGACAATCCCAATGATATGAGCACTTCTATCTAATACCGTTTGCATATGCACAGAAAAATCCTACACATGCCAGGTGGATCCATTGATGGTTCCACATCATCACTTGTGGGAGGCTAGGATGTCGTTGTTGGTTTTCCCATGTCACAGATACTTCCCATGTGCCTCTTCTTGATCAGGCCGTCCCCACGCAGATTTGCAAGAGGACTTGGACCTGGACCACGAAATGGGTGTTGCCCTGATCAATGATTACTTCTCAGGAGTAGCCTGCTTAAACTTTCTGGGTTCTCACATTGTGCAATACCACGCACATTTATTCAACTTCATTTTTTTGGAAATGATATAAACGAACTTAGGCAGAGTCAGCTGAACGAGTTTGCAAGCTGGCTTCGATGAGTTCTAGACTTGGCAGTGGGCGTCACTAAGATGCACATGTGACTCAAAAGATATTGACATTTTGTATGTGCTATGGGTCCTCCCACTCTTCAACCCCATGGCCCAGGACAACTGGACTTACTTTACCAGATAGCAGCGGCTGGCCGGAGTGAGACGAATGCTTGCAGGAACCTGCATTCTCTTATACACAAACGTGGCTTAACTCTCCCCTTGAAAATTCACACTGTGGAGGTCCCAGTTCGAAAAAGGAAACCCAAGGTTCGAAAGACTTGGGTTCATTACCCTGTGATTTTGCCGTCAACATGGGCAAAATATTTGCTGGAGAGTCATAGCTTTCTGCTCCTTGGGGGGCATGATATCAACCATGGTACTTGGCAAAGAGAGCTTGCTATGTTCTGGGAAACCTATTTGAAAACTGATGCAAACCATCCAATGGTGAAACCTGGGGCACCTCCTCCAGAGAGAACGGTGCCTCTCTACATCCATGGGGATGAGGGTCGTGGAAAATACAGATTACCTATCATGATCCAGGCCATACAGGCAGTTGTGAGCTTTAAAGGGCCGGCCTTCAAGAATTCAAGTGGGCAACTCATCTCAAAAAGTGTTTTACCAAAGTTTGCATATTTGCATGTAGAGCTTTGCTGATTGCCCAGGGTGGGTTGTCCCAAGTAAGGCAATGTGTTCTGAGGCATACCATGTGCACACGGTTTCTCTACACTGTCCTTCCTTCTGAGCTTTACTGGGGTGATGAAACTTTGACCCACATCAACCGCTTCTTTGCAGAGAATCTCTTGGAGCTCTTTGAAAATGGAATTCTAGTGTCATGACTTCACTATGACATTGCTCATGGAATGTATTAAGCTTACATAATTTTGGTGGCACCCCCACTTGGCTGCAGGTAGAGACACGTGGAGGACAAGAGCGTGTATACTTCTGCGTGCTTGGGGTGAAGGGAGACTGGCCCTACCTCCGTAAGGTGCCATGGGTATGGGTCCACTGTGTCCTATATATTTACTTCAACATACTCATGACCTGAAAATGGATAACCATTTTGCAACAACCTAGAGGCCATGGGTCTTAATTGTGGCTACAACTGCACCCGGAAGTGCCACCTTTGCAATGCAGAGGAAACTCAGCTATATATACTATTATACCTGGGGATTCATAATATGAGCGATATAGTTTTGCTCGATATAGATTCCAGCTCGTTTTCATGAAATCTACCTGTTTGAAAAAATATTGTACCCCAACCCATGCCACTTGTGGATTAGCTGAGGAATGGTATGATATGTCGACTACTGCACCTTGGAGGAGTGACACACCCGACGAATGCCCAACCCCCTTCAAGGACCTGGGCTCTCCATTCTTCATCCTTCCAGGGTTGACCTCACCAACGAAGATTTGCATTGATGCGGCACACACTTGGCATATAGGGTTACCAGGATGCAGTGGGTTTACGAAGTTTATAATTTTGGATTGATCTTCACTCAATTGTGTTCTGGAAACCTAAGGATTGGAAAAGATTTCACTGCATCAGCAGTCGTTCTCCTGTGCAAACTGAAACTTTACCAGGGGAGATCCTTGAATGCTCGATTACGAGCGGCCTTCAAGAGCTACATGAAATGGTGTTCAGTGAACAAGAAGAACACAAACATTCTGGTCTTCTCAAAAAAAGCGTTCAAGATGAAATCGATTCTTTTATGCATTTGGAACATGTTACATGGGCTACATGGAGCATGGGGTTCTTATTACTTTTTGTGGGCCACTTTGTCAGGAACAATGCCTTTCCTACAGCAACTGGAGGCAAGGGGGCAGACACCTCCATATTGTCTGCATGGTTGGAGGATGAAATGGGGACCATGGTGGCTTGTCTTTAAGAAATGTACAATACCACAGTTCTGATCCCAACTAAACCATTGATCTGTTTGGGGGTTAGCTAAGGAATGTGACAATTCCTTATTTGACTTGCTTCACTATGCTGTGCGGTGCAGCAATGCCTTTTATCGATTGCTCCACTGGAGGGGGTTGTGGCTGACTGCAGAGGACAATGCCTTTGCAGCACAGGCTGCCCAAGAGACGACGGATCCCTGAACAATATGTGATATATCGGATTGTTTTATAATTCCATAATTGGTCCTGTGGCTGGGCTTCCCACATGAAACCGGTCCCAACCCTGTTCTCAGGAAAGCTACTCGATGCTTGCAAGTCGGTGCCATCGTAAAGGTATCCATTTGTTCTATGTCAGGCCCAAACTACATATGGCTTCACATGAAGGGTGCCTTGAACTGACAGATATATCTTTCGAATTCTAAAATCTCTTCAAATTTCTGTGATGGAAAGATATCATCCAGACCCCAGGTTGAAGCTCAAGGATGCCGGTGATGCTGATTTATCCCAGGTTAACCCGCTCAGTGTTTGCCTTAGATATCCTGTGATGCTCCATGATGTCCCCAAAAAAATTGAATATAATCTATGGCCGCCTGCCGCACTGAGACTATGCATGCTGGGCTGATGAGGATTTTATTGGAAGGTGTGCGTTGATAGCTCGAAGTAGTGGCACTCATGCCTTAAGCTGTACACTTCGATGCCTTCAGAAAATGTTGGGGGCATACATGGCTCAAGTGAGCCAATTGAACCAATAATGGTGATGATACCACCTGCTCTGGACTGGGGTGCCCGGCTTGGAAAAAAAGGTGGCGATGATGTGCATCATGAGCGCACTCTTGCGGGGGGAGTGCAGGGGAAGAGAACCCACCCACTAGATCCATATATCAAATCGGACCAAACGGGATGAAACGTACCAAAACGTACAATAACCTTTCAACCGGGCAGATTTCATGAAAACGAGCTGGAATCTAGATCGAGCAACAATTATTGCTCATATGAATCCCCAGGAGGGCATATATTTCTGTAGCTACACCATGGATCCATTGGAAACGCCATGGCGGGTCCTTCAAGCGATCCGACAGGGACAGGAAGGGCAACGCGTCGGGCGCCACGCGAAAGAGCGCAGAGATCTTCACGTGGACCTCCAGCAACGAACAAAGGAGAGACACTGATCGAACAAAAGGGATGCTGTCACACGATGAATATGCACAAACACACCTAGTCATGTGTATATATATATTATTATATATTGTATGTATGTCTGCATGTCTGTATGTCTGTATGTCTGTATGTCTGTATGTCTGTATGTCTGTATGCATGCATGCATGCATGCATGCATGTATCGATGTATCGATGTATCGTGTACTAGATTGATGAACAACCAATGTGAACAATTGACAAATGGCAAACAAATGCACGATTCCAGATACCCTGCATCAAACATAGCCTCTAAACGGATGTTCATTTCCCCAAGAACTGGTATGATCGTGCCCTGTAGCTGCCCAACTTCCTATCATTGCACTCCAGCTGGGATGAAAAATTGCGCCTGAGGGTATTGGCTGAGTTTCAGCAGGCCGCTCCAACTTGCTTCATCGAAACTTCTCTCTCCAAAGCCGGTAGCTGGCTGTAGGAAGAAACCTGCAGCCGGTGGGGCGACCCGAAGTTCCAAAACGACTGGTTGGGTGCAAAATTAGAGATGTCTACATAAATCACTGTTGAGCTCGGTAAACATGGATACAGATTGTAGAAAGAACGATAATGTGAAACCTGATCTTTGTTTCTTGCGATGTTGACGACGAATAGGTGACATGATGGTTGGTGGATTCTCTAATTGTCAAACCAACTGATTGGTGTTTCAGAACCTGCTGGCCTTGCCATTGTGACCCAACTTCCTGGTGCTGAAAAAAAAACGGTACAGCACCAAAATCTGGGGGCCCACATTTAATGATTGGAACGACGAGCCACCAACAGCCACTGTCCAATGGTTGTCCTATTTCAGTGCCAAGTTGCCCCAGTGATCGATGATCACTTGCGTCTTTGCATCAAACTTCAACAGCTCCTATCATGGCCCAAAACAGCCGAACTGCATCCGCTGGTCAATCAACCCCCGCTGGTCATCCCATGTTCAAAAAAGTTGGGGGCCTTTCTTCGGTATAGGAAACAACGAGGAGATGGCACGCAATGTACTGGCTAGTAAATACCCTCAACTCGCAACTTTGAGAACATATACCCTCTGGTAATTTAACATAGCTATTGAAAATGGTCATTTATAGTTGCTGTTCCTATTAACAATGGTGATTTTCCATTGCTTTTTGTATGTTTACCAGAGGGTACTCTACGTTTTGCAGCTGAAAGTATCAACGTACGACACCGTGCCTCTGTGTGGACTACGCACGCACTCATTCTATGCTCGTTGTTTGGGTGTGTTGAACCACATCCCAGAAGCTTCAGTGTTTATTCCACATGTTGGTCAAAACTCCAACGTCTAAACTACAACAAATTGATGGATCACTGGATCACATGGTTCTTCCAAGTTTTGGCTGGCGAAAATAACGTATATTATATTTCTCTGAATATTTCTGGATTTGGAACCGTGTAGCTTCCGAACCCATGTGAACAGTATTGAAAACACACCCTTCTGTCATTCCTTTGTGCTGGTTATGGGCTTTATGGTTCCCATAATGGATCAGTTCATAGTCCCCAATCAAGAACATCAATCAACCATCATGTATTCTATCCCTGGCGTCTTCGTGCCCAAATCCCATGTTTGATTTTCACAATCGCACTACAAATCACATCGTCAGATCTCATCATATCCCAAACTTCGTCATTCTAGCCACAAATAAACATCAATTATTCAATAGAACCAAAAATGTAGTACCCTCTGGTAATTTAACAGTTTGCTATTGAAAATGACCCATAGAACTAGTGGATTTTCCCACTGAAAATGGTGATTTTCCAGTTTGCGAACTGTTACAGGTCCTCCAGGTCTCGTAGGTGTTGGCTGAGGCCCTTGAAGGGCATCACTCCCACGGGCAGACCCAGCTCGCCGGCCTTCCGAAACCTGGGTGCAGGGGATCAGGTATACAAGTTATACACACAGATCATGTAGATATATATATATATAATATGTGTATATATATGTGTTAGATCAAAGTATATGTTTGTTATATTATACTATATTATACTATATGATATTATATGTGTGATCAATCCTGGACTCTGGTTGCAGTATCCCCTGGACAATTGTCAATGTTTTGAGTGCAAAACAAACTATGAGTGTTAAATTGTTTTAAGAAGAAAGTTATACAGGATGTGAAAAACACAGCATGGAAGTTAAAGTTGACTGAATAAACAATCTAAGGGGTCACCCGCAAACACACAAATTCAACCAGAACTGAACAAACATGTCAAGTTTGGCAATAACGAAGGCCTTGAAACCAAAACAACCCCGGAGATAAATGGTAATTGCTCAAACAACCATGTTATACACTGTAGACAGTAGACATCACTAACACCGCTAGGAACATGAGCAACACACGTTGGAATCTTTGGACATTCAACTCACAAGAATATCTCTGCCAGAGTCTCTGCCCTCAACAAATGGGTGGGTTTCCCCAAGCCTCTTCTGAAACATATCTGATGCTCAACGTGACATAGTGATTCCCAACGTCCGTTCAAGTCCATCCTGGTCTCCCAATGTTTGAGGTTGTTACACACTCCCTGGAGAGTTACTTTCACCACGGTTGACCATCATTTCATGCTGGTGAAATCTGGATATGTCTTCTGGCGCCTCCAATATCACCCGATCACATATCAGATTTCCAATAACATATCCCATTATGTACCTCCCATTATGGATTAATTAATCATTATATGATCATTACCATTACCCTATTTGATTATATCCATATTAATTATGGACTAATAACATATCCCATTACCCTATTTGATTAATCATATTATTAGGCAAAACCACCATCAATGCCATCACAATTTGTGCTGGTGATTGAACTTGCAGCCAACTGGCAAGCGTTTGCCAGTCTCATCTGCCATGCCTTCGGGCCCTTCCGGCCATTTGTAGGGGTTAAAGCGTATACCCACCTCAGTTCGCCGCGAGAATCAAACGAAACATGTTCCAGCAAACATGGCTTTAATCCATTCGCTCACCTGAAATAGGGCCAATTATGGGGATAATTCCTCGTATACTAACCATTATTCCAGTGAGGTTGCAGGTTGCAGTCCCTATAATTTACACAAATTATAAATATGGAGGTTTCCTAAAATGGGTGGAATTACCCTCTGGTAATTTAACATAGCTATTGAAAATGGCCATTTATAGTGGATTTACCTATTAAAAATGGTGATTTTCCATGGCTATGTTAAATAACCAGATGGTATATGAAATTATACAAAATTGTTGATCATCAATTGGAAAACGAACGGTTTTGGATCAAAACTCTTGGGTAGCCATATTCAAAGAAACCTCCATATTACAATATCATCATTTCATATGATCCCCTATGGATCCAGCCATACTACCTGAGAGTATGTTAACCCCCATCCCAATCAACCCCCAAATCCTTCCCAGGAGGTGTTGGAAATCCATAAGGACTCATTTTCCCACGGTTTCATCATGCAAAAATCCTGGTCTTCGCCATTGAAATGGCTATTCTTGAGGTCTGCCTGAGAATCTGCCTGATTTCTGGACAAACTTCGGTCGGTGTATTCCTCCATCATTTTGGGGTTTTGGTCAGACGGACAAAATCATCTACCATCTGGTTATTTAACATAGCCATGGTATAGATGGCCCATAGAAATAGATGGTTTACCGTTCTTAAAAATGGGAGGATTTTCCATGGCAAACTGTTAAATAACCAGATGGTAACCTCTTCGGACCTCAAGTTCATAGATGTATCTGGATCAGACCCGGCCATGTGTGTTGGATGAGTACACAAATCAAAACTGGTAGCTTAGAGTATGAAAGTCCCGGTTATAATTTATAATATGCTATAATTATGATCCAGTTGCTAAATTAAATGCAAATCGGAGAACCTGAGCCCATCCAGGCTTGATTTCTTGAGGGTAGCTTACCGTAAACATTCAAAAACCCTGCCTCTTGATATCTATTGCAGCCATAAACAGCTTGGCAACCTTCAATCAAGTATTAGAAATTATAATTCAGTTTAAATTCTTGTTTTTGGGTTATATATATATATAAATTTGGCAACCTTTAAGGATTTTTGTTCGCCATGCCACCCAATTCTTGTGGCTCTTGGTAATGTCCTCCATCCATTTCTCCGGCTCCGTGACAGTGGGGTCCGCCACAAAAACGCCCAGCAAGCGATCGGGATGACTTTGCATCGCGCTGAGGAGGTACTTGTAGTCCTCAGCTGTTGTTGGTTCCCGGCTAAACCCAGCTGAGTTAAGGTTGATATGACTGGATATGTATAAAGTACAACAGAATCTATGCATAACTTACAACAAAATCACAAGAAAAACCTCAAAAATCTCAGGAAATGGCTGGGAACCCCCATGTCAGTTCTGCGAGTTTCGTTGGTGTCAAAAAAAAATCATGAGATGTGGACATATTGTGGGTCAAGATTGGTTGTACCACCAAAATTGCATGGTTTTGACTTGACCACACAAACGATCCACAAACTGAGATTGTCTAGTTTGAGAAATTAAACCGACATATTTATTGACGTGGCCAATGTACCAAAATACCTAAGATCGGGGCCTTTGGTTTTCTATTTTGCCCCACGTTTCCAATGTTTGCCGGCCAGCGTCTTGGGCATAGTTGATGGGTTGGACCACCACCTTAGTAGCGGCTGCCAAGAAGGGTGAACCGTCATGGTTCATCCAATGGGTTTGTCAAAACATAGGGGCCCTGGGAATAGTTAACTGGTTGGTGGTATACCTTCCCATCTGAAAAATATTGGTCAGTTGGGATGATGAAATTCCCAATATATGGAAAATAAAAAATGTTCCAACCCACCAACCAGGTTGAAAGGGTTACAGGAAACGAAATAATGAACTATGGCTAAACTAGCCACTAACCAATTAACTAACCCCAGGGGCCCAGCCAAGCAGGGGTGCCCCAAGTAGCCACTAATGGGAAAATCATCGAAAGAACGACTTGAATGGGAAAATCACGCTGAACCATCGGGAGGTTAGGGTACCTTAGTTTCAGGCATATGCAAATACTTTGACAGAAAACACCTGTTCAGCATGGCTGGTAGCCTTGACTAAATAATCTTCACCATACAATCTCACCTTGAGCAGCTGGTTGATCCTGGAGACTAACAAATGCATAGTTACGTATAATATCGTATAATCATGTACATATACATATCTCATCATATCTCAAATATTTTACCCCATCATCTTTGGATCCCTGTTGTACTTGGTGCCCACAACTAACGTTATAATATTAATTGCACCGTATGAATAAATAACATCAATGAACAATTTAATTACCCTCCAGTAATTTAACATAGCTATTGAAAATGGCCATAGAAATAGTGGATTTTCCCATTAAAAATGGTGGATCTTTCCATAGTTATGTTAAATTGCCAGAGGGTAAACCTCCATTTTCCTATGGTTTTCCTATGGTTTTCCCATGAAAACCTCCATTTTCCTATGGTTTTCCTATGGTTTCCTTTTCACATTCCCCAACCATTGGCATCTGCACGGCGGTGCCGCCAAGGCACTGCTTTCTCGATGCCGTTCGCGTCCATGAGCTGCAGAAAGCTCTCGCTCGTCGCGCGGCCATCGTTGAGGTGTTCCGGCGGGGCCGTGGCCCAGGGATAGGTCGCCTGGTGCTGCACAGGGGTGCACCAACTTACCCTCTGGTAATGTCAACATAGCTATTGAAAATGACCATAGAAATCGTGGATTTTCGCATTAAAAATGGTGGATCTTTCCATAGTTACGTTAGTTTACCAGAGGGTAGCTAAGTTAGTAGACACCGCTGAAACATCCGAACATAGAAAATCGGACTGGATAGTAACTGGCTCATAGCAGCCATTTTTTCTAACTCAACAAATCCAATACAAATCCCACGTCCAGCTACAAGGTGGTGCCCCATAGTTAGCAAAGTTGGTTTATAACTCCCATAACTATGGTTTATGGTAGATATAACTATAGTTTTCATGGGGTTTATAAACCAACTTATAACTGGGGGGCACCATCCTGTAAGTACCTCATGTTTTGACCCTTACAGCCACCATCCTAACCTCGTCCGGCGTCCACAAGTGCAAATGCGAATCCAGCCGCTGACTGCGGCGCGCAGCACGTGCCATGCTGCTGAGACCAGCTGTGACCTGAATCTGCCCTGGTTGGTGGGTTTCATTTCAATATATGTATATGTATATATATATATATATCAATCCTTTGTAAATAGATTAATTATATATATATATATATATATCAATCCTTCGTAAATAGGTGTTCATTGGGATGAATCGAAATCAGTAGATGATATGGTGTTGGCAAAATTTCCAAAAACCTATTTTGGTTTGTTCTATGCTAATAACTATAATATACAGTCGATGCTTGATCGGTGTCAGTAAAGCTGGCAATATAAATCATGAATCTCTCCAAAGCAAATAGAACATGTAAACAGGTATACAAAATGAGTGGATCGTTAAAGCAAATGAATGCAAAGGATGCAAGATGATCACAAATGCTTAACACATAGTGCAACCATATTCGAACATTAATAAACATGATAGACATGATAAGAACTTTCTCATGTTTCTATTTTCTAAAACCTATATAGCTAAGCTATGGAAAAAAAAAACACCATTCTTAATAGATCAATTATCAAAATGAACCATCTTCATCCATTTTCCACGTCACCATGTAGAGTCAATGATAGCTTAACTGCATGCCCATTTTACGACATAGTATGCTAATAGCACCTATGTAATAGCACCTATGCTAATAGTCATGTAGAGTCAATGAAACATAGCACCTTCCATATCATTCATAGAATTGGATGATGGGAAAATTTACAGGAAACCACTATATTTGATGGTAAAAACCATGGTTTCCTGTAGATTTTCCCTTAAACCAATCCATTGAATCATACTATGCTACCATTTTCAGAACACAAGGGGATCCCGTGGCCACATATGGCCACCACATCGTGCCATGTCGCCGCCAACCACGACCAACTCAGCCTCCGCGGCGCCGCAAAGCGTGGCAGCAGCTGGCTGCGATGGCTGCGCTGGCTGCGAGCCAGCGGCGCCCACGGCAGGCTGGCGCGCGCAGGGGCCACCGTGAGCATCACCGGCCCAGGTGCTGCCAATGTGCCACAAAAATGCTGTAGTTTAGGATGGTATGCCTGGGAAACCCAAGTATGATATGCCCTGAAATGGGAAATTATGGGAATTCCACTAAGGTATCTGGGGTGAGGACTCGACAGGAAGTAAATGAGAATGAATATGAAGTCGTGCGTAATCAGAACTTAAAATCATGAGTGGGTTCTGTGGCAACAACATGTACCATGAACCAAGGCAGCAGCGATGTTCATCTGATCCATTCAGATTAGACCGCATGGGTGGGACATGAAGCGCCATCTGATGGGCTTGGCATCATCTTCCGCAATCCTGCAGTTTGAATAGGAAAATTGGCTGCGATTCAGACAGGAAACCATACCACAAATTCATACAGTTTGGTTGGATACTACAATTCCTCTCTACCCTGCACGTCAGAATTTGGCTAAGCCAAGTTTTGAACCTCCCGGAAGGCATTGTTCAAGGGGAATGTGCAAATACTTGAAGTGGTCATCTCAGTACTTGGTTAATCAGCCTGCTTAGCAAGTCTCCCAACTGCGGCTATCTCATTTACCCTCTGGTAATTGAACAGTTTGCTATTGAAAATGGCCGATTTATATACCCATAAAAAAATGTGATTTTCCATATATGATGGTCTTTTACCAGAGGGTATACCTGGGTTGTAAGTTGCTCCATCAAGTACCATGCCTCCCAGGCTGGCCGCCCCCGCCCGGAGAGATCTCCGTGAGCACATAGCGTGCGCCATCTGAAAACCTGAGCCGGATCCGTTCACCGTGGTCACCTTGATCGGCTTAGGTCATAATGTCATAATCCCGGGAAAAAACATCTATAAGTAGTCTCTAAAATGGTCTCAAAAATGGTCTGTAAACATCAGATAATATCAATAGTATAATTTCAAATTCAAATTTCAAATCTAGAAAAACAATAAACAAATGCATTTCAATCAAATACTATAAAGTATCACGAATGGTATATTACTTTAAATTGATATAAATGGTATATTAAATATTCATTTGGATTTATTATTCTGGTCATTAGTCTCAACCAAGAAACAATCCAAAATATAGAACAATGAGGCTTCAATTAGACATCTAGAATCAAACACCTGGACAGAACCAACAACTTCTATATATCAAATTCTGGGTTGAAAGTTTTAACCCTTTTTTTTAAAAAAAATCTTGAATGAAGCTCAGTTGAATAGTAACCCTGTGGTTTTGACTGAAACGACCAGGTCCCGAGGTCCTTGCAGCCGACATCGGCCGACTAGGCTTCAGTCGAAAGTCCACTGCATGCACTGATGAAGATGAACCACTGTCCCATGGTACCCCAGAAAAGTAAGTTGACATATATTATATTAATATATATGAATGTATATATATATATATTAACATGTACCTATTTCTCAATTAAAACCTCATCCAGTATCCGTTACCCCTGTAGTTTAACATAGCCATGGACACTGTGACTCGGTGCCCAGGCGATGCCACGTTGCCCTTCACACTCAGCATCCTGCACGGCGATAGCATGACGGTGAAAAAAAAAACAAAGAACCCAAGAGTTCAGCCTATTATACTTTCTCTTCATGGACCCTCTGGTCAACAAACAGTTTGCTAGCGAAAATGGCCATTGAAATAGTGGATTTACCCATTGAACCTGGTGATTTTCCATAGCTATGTTAGTTTACCAGGCCGGGTACTCAGTATACTTAGTATACCCAAACAGAATCCAAGATGTTCCCATGGATTCAGCATATGCACGTCACCAAGTCACTTTTGTTTATTTGGGGATCAAATCCCCAGAGCCCCTGGTTGTTGTGTTGTGACTTTTAGTATTGCTTAAATGCCATAAACTGAGAGAAACAACATTATTTTTAAAAAAAACACACAAGTCAACATATGATATATTGATATATACTGCATAAATTAAATATATACCGTAATACCATGATATAGTTTTGTTTTTTTCCGGCAAATTATCTTGACATATCTTGAAAATATAAATAAACCACATTGTTTCTCAACCGTATCTCCATCTTAAATCAAGCAAACCTTTTTTTCATACTGTTGGTTTAGTTTTATATCCCATGATAATTCCATTAAATTCGAATTATATTCCCATAGTAGTATTATTATTGGATATTAGCGTAGTTAGTATGTTTTGACAACCCCCCTTTTTAGTATGTTTATATAATGGGTACCTGTGCTCCAAATACATTCTCAGAAGGTGATTTAAACCATTTTAGACCCCCAAAACCAACCCCAATTTGACGGTAGTCAGAAGGTCTTTGGAGCTGTAGCAGTAGTAGTAGCAACCCCGGATTAATAAACCATGGTTTATTGTTTAGATCAGCACGGTGTACTCAATAGTCATCATCATCATAATCTGATACTTAAATGGTACCGCCCCAATGAAACAGCCGAGCGGTTTATGAATTCAAGGCTGACATTACACTCTGGTAAACTAACATAGCTATTGAAAATGGCCATTTATAGTGAGTTTTCCCATTAAAAATTGTGATTTTCCATAGTTATGTTAGTTTACCAGAGGGTACCCAAGAAACCCACATCCATGGGAATATGGTTCCCCATGGGTCCCCAGGGCGTTGACGGAATGTCGCCAGCGGCCCTGAAGTGCATCGATCGTGGGCCTCGGCGAAATTCACGGGGAAATCTTCGGGAAATTCAGGGTGGCACGATGGTGGGTCTCTTTTTTAAGGTGCCATAACGCTAATTCCTGGCACGGCAGTTTGGGATTGTCACTTCCACTTGTAACTGGCTGATAACACATCAGATTGCTAAATGTATAGGTTCTATCAGTTATAAGTATATAGCTAATATATCCACTAAGTATAGGGAATATATCCACTGGCAATATATCCACTCATAACCATTTATAGGTTATAGTTAATTACTGGTTGGTGGTTTCAACCCCTCTGAAAAATATGAAAGTCAGATTGGATCATCATCCCAACTATGTTTTTGCCAATTGGCAAGCACAAAAGGTCGTCCAACCTTGCTGCTAAGCATCCAATTAACACGCCGGTCTGGGCATGACAAAGATCATCCCAACTATTGGAGAAAATAAAATTCATGTTCCAAACCACCAACCAGATATTTATCATTGATTAACCTATTTGGGGCACAATCCACTAGTAAAATATCCGCTGGTAATATATCCACTATAATAACCATTTATAGGTTACCCTCTGGTAAACGTTTGCATAACTATGGAAAGATCCGCCATGCTATTCATGGGAAAACTGACCATTTCTATGGCCATGTCCAATAGCTTTGTGTATGTTTACCAGATCTAGTAAAAATAGTTTTTTTTTGGCAAATAGCTATTGTATGATCATTTGCTTTTTCTATGTTATTCAATAGCTATTGTATGTTTAACTCACTATTTCAATAGTTTTTTTTTAAATGATCCACTGATGTTTAGCCATATTTAATGGGTAAATCAACTATTTCCATGGCCATTTTCAATAGCTTTTTGTATGTGTACCAGAGGTTATAGTTAATGATCTCCACTTTTCTGGTAGGCATAAGACAAAAAAGTGAGTGGACCTAGTTAATGACCTCCAGTTAAGATTCACCAGAGGTGATACCCTCTGGTAAATTAACATAGCTATTGAAAATGACCATATATAGTGGATTTTCCCATTAAAAATGGTGATTTTCCATAGCTATGTTAAATTACCAGAGGGTAGTTTTTGTATGCTTCATCCACTCACTGGCCTGAATCTTCGCCCGGATGAATCCCTGGGCCTTCCTGGGCCCTGACACGAACTCCTCCGCCTCCCTAGGCCTGGCGTGTGGGAAATCCTCGAGAGGAGAAGCACCAGAAAAGTAGAGACGTTGTTCCTACAAAAACAATAGGGTTTTCATGGGTTTTCCAGATTTATGTGAAGGTTTACTTCACCTTCATGTTTTTGTTCATGTTTTTCGTTCTTTTCCTGTGTAAAGGTACTGCCTTATGGATTAAAAATCATCCTTAAATACTTCCGGAGAAGGTGCGGCCACCCTCCAAATCGACTGGATCCACAGGGCTGGAGTGAGATGGTGCGATGACAATGCCGAGGACTTGGAGCGAGCTTGTAGGTGTGAGGTCATCCAGGAGGTCATGCTGTGGAACAAGGCCTTATCTTGGTTAAAGATAAGCCAGCACTTGAAGGGTCCAAAAGATGACGAACAGCTGTTGATCATCGACGTCTGCCTGTCGTGTTTTCCAACGCCCATCTTCAACCTGGGCTTTCACAGCAGCCTCTGCGGCCGTCTCAGCGATCTCGGGGTCATTTTCCAGGAACTCCTCCTCGCCTTCCAGATTATAAACCGTCATAATTCAAACAAACAAGGGAATTGCACGGAAATAATGAAAAAAAACAAAACAATTAAAACAATACATATTTTTAGGGTTTGCTTTGAAATTGCTGTCAGATTGATGGGATCAATGCTTTTTGGGCGACGATCCAAATGCTCAAAAGCATGTGTTCCCTCTCCCCTGGCATCCCAGGGGCAATGAGCTCGTTGATATCACGCCCGATCTTGCCCAAGGTTCCACGTTCATATGCGTGTGTCTCGGATCTAGGCCGTGCTCGATCATCACCCATCCCCACGTGCTGGCACGGTATTTATTGGGAATCATGATGAATCACGACATATGTTTGGGGAGGCAGCAGAAAAAACTGTGATGATTTTCCATTAAGACCCCCATGAGGACGTAGGATTGTCAATTGCCTATCTTTGATTATCAGTTGGTATATGAATTTCATCACTCAAACATGTTGAGTTGCTCGGTCCGATGGTTTGCAATTGGGAAAAGTATACACAATCACCTGAAAGAAACCCATGTTTGGTGTCTAACATTCAAATTATATACATATATATATATATATATACATATCCCATAGGATCCATGTATGCTATATATGGTAACATTTACCATCAATATACCCCAAATGTTAGCATATATACCATACATGGATCCTATG